CTCAAAATCTTTTTGCTTTCACTTGGACTGACGCTGATACATGCTACTCCCAACAACTCACCTGGACTGTCCTCCCCCAGGGGTTTAGGGACAGCCCTCAGTATTTTGGTCAGGTGCTTCAATTGGACCGTTCCCAACTACCTCTACGACCCAGCGTCTTGTTTCAATATATGGACAATTTACTTCTTTGTAGTCCCTCTCTAGAACATTGTATTCAACACACAGCCAGGCTTTTAAATTTGTTGGCTGAATGTGGGTACCAGGTATCCAAAAGGAAGGCCCAATTAACCTCTCCAAATGTTTCATAGCTAGGATTAATTATAACTCCAAATACACCCAGGAAATTCCACTAGCATGAAAGCAAGACATTCAACAAATCCCATTTCCTAAGACAAAAAGGGACTTACTTTCTTTCCTCAAATTAGTGGGATATTTCTGATGATAGATAGCAAATTTTGCCACTGTCACTAAACCTCTTTATGAACACACAAGAGGAAATCTTGACCAACCACTCACTCCCACCCCAGACCTTTATCATGCTTTCTGTCACCTAAAATGTGCCTTATTACAGACCCCCCACTTTAGGCCTTCCAAACCTCCTAAGAACTTTTCATCTATATTTACACAGTTCTCATAATCAGGCCCTTGGACTATTAGCCCAATCCATGGGAGATTCCCTCCAACCAGTGGCATATTCTTCAAAACAACTAGACCCCATTTACAAAACCTGGCACCTTTGCTTAAAAATTTTTGCCACAGCCTCTTTAATTATCCCTGAGGCACAAACTCACATTCTACGAACCTCGTCAGGTATTTTCTTCTCACAGTCTACAAGATATGCTCAGCCGTAAGGCGCTCACCTCCATCTCATCCTCTCGCATGCAAGCCCTACATTCAACCCTCCTTCAGCCCTCCATCTCTCTTCATAGATGCTCACCCCCCAATCCTGCTACTCTTTTATCTTCAACACTGATTTTGGACCCTGACCAACACTCATGCTCTGATCTAATTGAAAGTTCTCGCACCATGTTTTGCCACCTTACTTCCACTCACATAAAGGGAGCCCCAGATTGATTTATAGATGGCAGCGCATCAAAAAACCCTCCCCTCCAAGCAGGATATCCTGTCATTGAGAGATATCATGATGATACCCGCTCTCTTCCACCTAGAAGAGTCGTAGAGACTGCCCCCTTCCCTTTGGGCACATCCTCCCAACAAGCAGAATTAGTTGCCCTAATAAGAGCATTAACCCTAGCAAAAAACACACAAGTTAATATATACCACCGATTCTAAATATGCCTATAACATCAACCATTCCAATGCCCAAATTTGGAGCAAGAGGGGCTATCTCACAGCTAAGGGAACTCCTATCATTAATGGAAAACTAATCCATCCTCTATTAAAGGCTGCTCTACTTCCAGAAAAGGTTGCAGTTATCCATTACAAATGACATCAATCAGATAAAAGACACATTTCTTTAGGGAACTGTGAGGTTGACTACTGGGCAAAACACACCTCAACCCATCATCCAATTCTCCAATATCTATTTCCCCTCACACAACATATCCCCTCCTTTTATCCCGAACACCAAATACAACAACTAATCACAGCAGGGGCACAATTCAAACTCCCACACTGGTTCATACAAAACAAATTAGTCCTACCTGACCCTGAAAAAACAACTCTTGGCCAGGCGCAGTGGCTCACGCCTGTAATCCCAACACTTTGGGAGGCCAAGGTGGGTGGATCACGAGGTCAGGAGTTTGAGACCAGCCTGACCAACATGGTGAAACCCTGTCTCTACTAAAAATACAAAACTAGCCGGCCGTAGTGGTGCGCGCCTGTAATCCCAGCTACTCCGGAGGCTGAGGCAGGAGAATCACTTGAACTCCGGAGGTGGAGGTTGCAGTGAGCTGAGATCATGCCATTGCACTCCAGCCTGGGCGACAGAGCAAGACTCTGTCTCAAAAAAACAAACAAACAAACAAACAAACAAAAAAACTCTGTTATGGGACATCCACAAACTCTTCCACACTAGCCATTCCCCTCTACAACATTTCTTAAGTTTCCACATACACATAAACCCAGATATAAAGGAACAGTTGAAAGCCATTTTCCATCAATGCTCTATTTGCCAGAAAGCTTCACCCCACTTCAACACTAGACTCCCTTCTTTTCCAACCCATCAAGACAGGGGAACCTTCCAAGACAAGACTGGCAAATTGATTTTACCCATATGCCCCCAGTAAAAAAGGTTCGATTTCTTTTGGTTCTGGTTGATACCTTTTCAGGATGGGTTGAGGCTTTTCCGACAACCAAGAAATGAGCTTCGACTGTCACCTCCAAATTAATAACAGAAATCATCCCCTGGTTCAGGGTGCCTCTTTCTTTTCAATCTGAAAATGGTCCTGAATTCATTTCTCAAATTACTCAAACACTTGCACAAACCCTACGAATCACCTGGAAGCTACACATCCCCTATCAACCTCAATCTTCAGGAAAGGTTGAAAAAATGAATGGCATTCTAAATAGCACCCTCACCAGGTATTCACTCCAAACACATAAAGACTGGGTTACACTTTTACCTTTGGCCCTTCTGAAAATTCGGGCACTCCCACGGAAGCCTTTAATGCTCAGCCCCTCTGAACTCATACATGGGAGTTTTGAGCATGAGTATTTGAGCTCATGCTCCTTTTGTTCCACCTCGGGGTCAAGCCCCACCTCTAACAACCCCTCTCATTTCCCTTCTTCGGCATACCATCCACCATTTCATTTGGGAATATGCTGACAAATACTTGCCACAACCTGTCACCATCTCCTTTAATCCCTTCCTACAGTCAGGAAACTGGGTTCTGGTAAAAGGTCCCAGCCCTACACGAATCCCAGAGGAAAAAGAACAGAAATTCACCTAAGCAGCTACGTCTCTTTCTCTCTCAAACTTTCATTGCTTCCTAACTAACCTTGTTACAGACCTTCTGTAGAGGACTACATGCTCGCAAACGAGACGTTCCCAATAAGTACTGCTCTTGCAAACGAAGCAGGGCGTTCCTTCCCTGCAAACAGGGAGGACAAAGGAGCCAGCTGCAAACAGCAGGCCCTGGGGACTAGTTAATGTGTAAACATCTTGAGAAACCAGCAAGTCAGGAAAAGGTCAGAAAAACAACACGTGACTTGTGACTTGGCAACATTCCACGACCGAAATTGTATGAAATAAAGCAGAGCCTGCCGTTCGGGGCGGCCGCCATGTTTGTCTCGTCCTGTGTTGTCTTGTGTGTTCATTCCTTTGTTTAGGAAACACGCGGACCCCAACACCTTCAGTGGTAGCCTTACAAAACTCTCATTATACATCCTGATCAGCTCCTTACTATTCCACAGGATTTATGGCTTCAAGGAACTTTCCAGGACTTTACTCCTACCCAAATAACTTTTTCCTCCTTTTGCTTGTTTCTTTCAATCTAAATTCCCTAATCACATCAACCTCACCAATAGAATCACTCCTCACTGCTATCAAACAAGAACGTTCTGTAAACCTTACACAATCCCTCTTGCTGCAAGCTAACTCTTCCTTTGCTCCAGAATGCTAGATGTGTTTATCACTGTCTTCCTCAGCTTATACATCCCTTCCTACACTCCTTCATGACCTTTTAACAGAAAACATAACCCTAATCTATAAATTCCTTTTTTGAAAAAGTTGACCCTCTGGTCGGCGATTATCTCACTTCCAGGGCCAATCAGGCCAACAAATTATTTCAAACCTATTACAACTCCCTACAACACCTTAAGTCACAAGACCCTCCCATTGAAGGGCCTCTAATTAAACACACCCCCCTTTGACAAGAAGCCTCACTTTGCTTTTTAGCCTCTGAGGGAAATTTCCCTGTAAGATCCTTAACACTTAACCAATGCAACTGCATTATCATTGTTAAACACCCCGCTGACCATCACACTAACCAAGTTGACTACCAAGTATCACCTGAAGTGAACGGAGCATTTCTGCAACCCGCTCGTTCTACAGCCCCTCCCTCAACCAATGCCTCTGGCCTAATTTGTGCTGTCCCTAGAGCCCACCTTTATCCATGGCTCAATATTAATGGTGCAACATCTAATCGCATTAAGTGTGTAAAAAAATAACTCTTCCTATATCGCTACTATAGTGGGTGTCTCCTTGACCTCCTCCTTGTCCACTTGGAGTAATGAAACACAGGAAAGAAAAAACATCCCATCTTTAATTCACTTGTTTTCTTTCCGTATCTCCACCTATATTTATGACAAAGGCTTATTTTTTGTGTGTGGCATCAACACATATCTTTGTCTCCCCACCAACTGGACTGGAACCTGTACCCTAGTTTATCTTTCTCCCTCCATTGGAAAAGTTCCTCCCAGCCAACCTTTGCCTGTTCCATTCATCCAATATGTTAGGAAGAGGAGGGTCATCCACGTCATTCCTTTAATGGCTGCCTTGGATATAACCTCCAGACTTGGATTCGGAGCAGGCAGATTGGCCACTTCCTTAACATACTTTAAAGCTCTTTCCACAGAATTACAGGGTTCTTTAGAACATATGGCCTGAAGCATTATAAGAGTCCAAGACAAACTAGACTCCTTGGCTGGAGTAGTCCTCCAAAATAGATGGGGACTAGATCTAATAACGGCTGAAAAAGGGGACCTCTGCCTCTCATTGGGTGAGGAATGTTGCTTTTATCTCAACCAATCAGGGCTAGTAAAAGACGCTGATGAAAAACTTAAATAAAGGGCTAAAAAGCTAAGGGAATATCAAAACAACTGAATAGATTGTTGGTTTGGGAACAAAATCATAACGTGGGTCATCCCATTCCTGGGCCCCCTCCTAATGAAACGCCTAAGACTCATGTTCTGACCCTGCCTAGTTAACCTTATTCAAAGATCTTCAACCAACAGGATCATGGCCATTTCACAGACAACTATCCAAAAACATCTACCTATAGCATTACCCCTTCTTTCTTCAGCACTTACAATCTTACCTTGCATCCTCAGTATACTTTGATCCTTTCATGTCAGGAGGGTCAAATGTAGGTGCCAAAGATCTAAAAATTAAGAGTTGAATGTAAAACTCAAATAAAATTGAAATCAAATATAACTTGTTTAGTGTTAATGTTAACCTTTTTCTTTCTTTTTTTTTTTTTTTTCTTCAGAGGCAAGGTCTCACCCCATCTCCCAGCCTGGAGTGCAGTCGTTTGATCATAGCTCACTACAACTTTGAAATTCTGGGCTCTGAGGAGATCCTCCCACCTCAGCCTCCCAGGTCGCTGCGACTACAGGCATGTGCCACCATACCCGACTAATTCTTTTTATTTTTTGTAGAGACAGGGTCTCTCTATGTTACCCAGTCTGGTCTCGAACTCCTGGACCCAAGCCATCCTCCCTGCTTGGCCTCCCAAAGTACTGGGGATTACAGGTGCAAGCCACAGCACCCAGCCAACTTTTTTCTTTATAAAACTATATGCTTACAGTTCTCCTCTGGCCTCTAATACTTTTTCATCCCTCCTCTGGTTCCTTTTTGCACCTTCGAGCACTCATTGTTGATGTGTCACTAACCTCTGTTTTTCTTTCTCCAGACTCAAAACCTCAGGAAATATATCTCCTTACACCCTCATCCTAGCTGTCATTCCTTACTGATGATAAGCCACTTGCAAATGGAAGTTTAAACACCACCTAAAACTGAACATATCCAAACCGCTGTCTTCTCTCTAAGCCCTTAACTCCTTAACTTTCTTAACACCATTAATGCCATGGTTCTTCACTGCATCCTGTTCAAAGTGAAGCAATCTTCAAATCCTTTCTCCTTTACCTCTTCTTCATGCTTTCACTCAGCTATGGGAACCTATCCCCTCAAGTCATGTCCACTCTTCCTTTACAGTCTTTCTCACACATTCTCCTCATCCCTCCTGACTGCCACAGTAATCGTGGCTGAGGGCACCTCATGTACAGAACTCTCTTCTCTCCATCCAAGCATCCACATCAAGAATCATCTTTCTTTAATACATCTATCTACTATTCAGAATATACTGGTGGCTCATAATGGCTCCTACTGCCATCTTACTCTCATTTCTGACTATATTTACATCGTCGCCTTTCTCTTCAGTTAACTGACATAGCATCTGACCTTTTTATAATCCAAGTTTTTATGCTATTTTAATCTTACTTGTCTGCAAAATAATACACTTCTCTTGAAAACACTTCTACAGTGAAAACAGCCCAATTCCTTGCCAGCCTCGTACAAAATAATGCTCTTAACCTAATTACTCGAGTGGTACCCCCACAGGGCTTTATGTCTACAGTGCAGCATGTGCATATATTCAAATATCTCTCGACACATCTAAAATTATTTTATAGATTTCAAGCTTTCTGCTTCTGAAACTCTGCTCAAATAAGGGCGTACAATACTCTACAAGTATTTAAAACAATACATAAGTCTGAAATAAAACTTCAGATCAAAATATGTTCAATGCATAATGATACTCACCTTTTTGCCTTCCTTTGGTTATTTCTGAGACCATTCTATAACAAAAGAAAATGAGAAATAGTTTCAGATTACTAAATCAATCATCTTCCTTTCTCTTGTTATCTTTCCTCCTGTATTTCCAGATGGCTCGCTGACCAATTTCTTAGTCCATCAATGTCTGTATCCTCATCAAGCCCTGTATAAACACTTAGTATTGTAAGACTTAACTTTTTGCCAATCTAATGAGTTTAAAATAGTATCTAATTGTTTTCATTTACATTTTCCTGATACCTAGTAAAGCAGCTTTTAATATTTGTTGCCCATTTGGGTATCTCTTCTCTGAACTATCTGTTTATATACTTTGTACATTTTTCTACTGAGTTGCTTGCCATTTTCTTATCGATTTTGTAGTTCTTTATAACAGAATACTCTTGTAACACTAATCGTCAAAAGCATAGATTTTGCTCTAAGTTCAACATTGCCTGCTTATGTGCACCAAAAAGTTATCTGTTTTTTGTTTGTTTTTGTTTGTTTGCTTGTTTGTTTTTGAGATGGGGTCTCACTATGTTGCCTAGGCTGATCTCGAACTCCTGGGCTACAGCGATCCTCCCACCTTGGCCTCCCAAGTGCTGCAGACTATATGCATGTGCCACTGCACCAGGCTAAAAAGTTATCTGATTTCAAGTTTACTTTTAATGTTAAATTTAATTCTAATTTTTTAAAACAGAAATAAACTATATTAGAGAATCTTTAAATATTATCCCATTGGTAGGAGAGAAAAGCAAAATCATAGGAATATATTAAAATATAGGGGTGAGTGAGGAAAGACAGAAGTGACGTGTAGAAGGGTGAGGAATGGAACTTAATTTTTAAAAGAATCAAAAGGCTGCTGAGCCGGGCACGGTGGCTCACGCCTGTAATCCCAGCCTTGGGGAGGCTGAGGCAGGCAGAACACGAGGTCAGGAGCTCGAGACCAGCCTGACCAACATGTTGAAACTCCGTCTCTACAAAAATTAGCCGGGTGTGGTGCATGCGCATGTAATCCCAGCTACTCAGGAGGCTGAGGCAGGAGAATCGCTTGAACTGGAAGGCGGAGGTGGCAATGGGCCAAGATCTCGCCACTGCACTCCAGCCTGGGTGACAGAGGGAGACTCAACCTCAAAAAAAAAAAAAAAAGGCTGCTGAATATTATCATTTAGTAAGAGTGCATAAGAAAAAATATAAAAATTATGGTGGAATACTAGAAGTTATTTTTAAATGAGGAAACGCACAGAAAAATAAGATTAAGTAGGAAGCTTCGAGACTAATATGATACCGTAAACAATGAAGAAATGTGTAAACTGCTACTGTTAGAATTTATCTCTGATGTATCTGCTGGGACGTCACTTTCAGATGATGATTCAGAAGCACTAGAAGAAAAGGGTGTAACTGTTAGTTTATTAATTCTGTTTTTATCACTTCTTTCTCTAAATTCTCCTTAAACATAAAAATTTCTCTTTCAGACAGAAATATGAATGTGTTAAATATCTCAATTGTTTGTCTACACTTACAGTGAGTTGTTCACTAAAGGGTTGCTTTGGGAGTCACACGTAGCAGCAGAAGAACCAGAGGGCATGGAGTCAGGTTTCTGAAAGAAAGAGAGTACCTTAGTAGGCTTAAATGCAACTAATTATTTCTCTACAGAGGCTCAGTTTCTGTGTACTATCACATTTATTTCAACACATTTACCAAATCCACAACCATAAACAATTACAAGATCAATAACTTTTTTTATGGATGTTTGGTCTGGATTTTATTTTATTTTATTTTTTATTTCATTTTTCTGGATCACAGGACAGATAATTTTTTTGTTTGTTTCTTTTGAGACAGGATCTGGCTCTGCTGTCCAGGTTGAAGTGCAGTGGCACGATCTTAGCTCACTGCAACCTCCACCTCCCAGGCTCAGGCAATCCTCCCACCTCAGCCTCCCAAGTAGCTAGAACTACAGGTACATGCCACACACGCATCTAATTTTTTTTTTTTTTTTTTTTTTGAGTCATGGTTTTGCCATGTCGCCCAAGCCAAGCTGGTCTGAAACTCCTGAGCTCAGGAGATCCACCTGCGCTGGCCTCCCACAGTGCTGGGATTACAGGTGTGAGCCACCACACCCAGCCACGGCCCCATGGCACATGGCTCATTGGTGCGACACAGAATGGAGGAATCATTTTGCTAAATCACTGGCTGTCTTGGCATAATGTAACCACAGTCCAACCTGAAGTCAACTTCAGAGGGAATTTTAAAACATAAAAATTTAATCCAAAGGCAATACGTACCACTGAGGTTTCTTCTGATATCTCAAGCAATGCAAGTTTAGCGGCCAATTGTTTTGCTTCCTGTTTACTAGAACCTGTACCAATACCATATTCTTTGTCTCCAATTTTGCATTTATAATGAAATCTAGGAGAAATCATAGAGGGTACTTATCCAAACATGAAAAATATAGTAAATCCAACTTACGATTAAAAAAAAAAAACATTAACAGAGATCTTAAGATAATACCAATTTATTAGATAGATTTATAGTTCATATCTTGCATAATTTAAACCCTCAGTAACCTGCCTGACCAATTTCTCTGAATAACCAGGATCAGTTGACATCTGAGCTTGCGTTTTCCAGGCAATTTCTAATTTTTGGTTGCTTTGCTGAAAGATCTGGCACAAAGGCACTAAGTGCTGATTTTTTTTGTTTTTTAATTCCCCAAAGGTCAAAAGATATGGAGGTAGAAAAGAAAGAGGTCCAGTGAATTTTTTCAGCAGTGCTCAAATGGGAAGGAAAAAGCCAGCAGAGAAAGTGGATTTGACAGGAGAAGCTATGAAGTTACAGCGTAGGGGAAGAGCAAAGCATGGATTCTGCTCTAACTTCAACATTGTCTGCCATCTGCTTATGTGCACAAAAATTTGAGAAAATCCCCACAGTGTAGATTCCCTATACTAAAGTCCACACTCTCCTATTAGATGTAAGGACATTTGTGGTTAGGCCAGGATACCTGGACAATTATATAAGAACTATTTTTAAGGGATAAAACAATGGACATGGTAATTTATATCACAGAGTTACTACATATTACTGCAAAATGATTCCAGTATTTGAACTTCTTTTCCTTTGTGCTTCTATTGAAGGCCATTGATAGAAACACATCCAAACAGGGTGAGTCTTCCCTGCTAGACCCTGAATTAAATAGCTGGGTTGAGTAACTGGATCATTTCTACAGCTCCTATTTTTTTCAGACACTGTCCCCCCGCAAATAGATTTCTTCTTTCTTTTAGGTATCTAACGTTAGAGAGCATAATTCAAAGAAATCAAAAAAGTGAGCTACAGAAAATAAAATAGTCTCTTAATTATCAAGATTGACTCAACAGATTCACTTTTGACTATTTCATTCCAATGAATACTATCACATGTTTTTCTTCCTGGTTTTGGCCCAAAAGCCATGACTGTGAATAGCTGAGTCAATTCATAGAACAGTATCCTAAAGTGATGATTTGAACTATTTGCCATGTAGATATTTTTTTTTCTTCTTTCTCATTAACTGGTTGGTTGTAGTTGAAAAACAATCGCCTCATACTCCTTTGATTTCTGCTTTTTTCAGTTCCAATCCATTCTTTATCCTCATTTCCAGGAACATCTTAGCTCAGTGGTGACGTTCTTAGTAACTTTGAAACTCTAGCTTATCTGTCTCATCAGATCCCTCAAATCCTGGTCTCCTCTCAGTCTACGGCTAAAACTCATTCCTTCTGATACATGGTATTTGTTCATTTAATCCAATTTGAAGGACAAATACCTGAACAAAGAGCTCCCTGATCTGACAAGGGTGAAGAGTCATTCTATACATGTGGCAGAGAGGTTTTCAGATAGTTACCACCATCATGTCCTCAATGACGAAAAGATCTCTGCATTCTTTGAGCAGTGGCACCCTGTACCCTCTTGTTCCACAGACTAAACCATCCAGCTACACCTTTGAAATAAAGGATTACCCTAATTTGATCAATTACGGTAAGTGGGCTCCATGGCTTCAGCAATTAAGCATTTTAATTACAAATTAGAAATCAAATTACTATCAATCATATAAAACCTTCCATATAGAATGTTTAAAAGGACACATATTTCTGGAAAATTAGACATGAAAATAAACCAACTTTATTGCTTAGATACAATGAAACAGAAAGAAAAGCCAAATTATGTCTTACCCTTCTGGCCCATGCACCCCCGATGTACATTGTTCATAATTTACAGTTAGTCTTTTCTTCTGGGCAATTCTATTGACAACGCCTATGTAATTCCCAATGGATAATCCTTCCGAAGAACTGGTTGTTGTCAATGAAAAAGGACTAACTGCCTACAAAGAAAAAAAAAATTCTTGTTTAATATAAATGACAACAAAGATTTAACCTTTTAAAAATCATTCTTCTAATAAAATTACTAAATGAGCAATGTGAAAGACAGCTTGGATGTTATATATTTTTCTATTATATTACCTTGAGTAAAAGTGTGACTATCTATCTCCCTCTACCAGAAAAAATCTACAAAGATAGATTTTAACAATACGAAAGAAGTTGCTTTTTCTTGTTTGTCTTTGGAAAGTACTATAACACGTTCTAGCTTGTTATATTCTTTCTAATCTCAAAAAATGAGGCAAGAGATACTGGATCACAACTTAATGAAAAAGATGAATATAATAGCGTGATTTCTACTATTGTTATCTCTACTTTTTTTTCTTAGTCCAACAAAAATCTTGTCCAAAGTTTTGCTATTTTATTTTTTTAATTTTTTTGAGTCAGGGTGTCACTTTGTTACCTAGGCTAGAGTGCAGTGGTGCAACCTCAGCTCACTGCAGCCTTGACCTCCTGGTTTCAAGCGATCTTCCTGTCTCAGTCTCACAAGTACCTGGAACTACAAGTACACACCACCACATCCGGGTACTTTTTTTGTATTTTTTGTAGAGACAGGGTTTGGCCATGTTGCCCAGTCTGGTCTCGAACTCCTAAACTCAAGTTATTTGCCTGCCTCAGACTTCCAAAATGCTAGGATTAGAGGTGTGAGCCACCACACCCAGCTGAGTTTTGCTATTTTATTAATCTTGTCAAAAAACTAGCTTTTGGTTTTATTGATCTTTCTTTTTTTTCTTTTTTATTTCTTTTATAGTAATTTCAACCATTGTTATTTTCTTTCTTCTGCTTTTTGGGGGTAAGACATTCTATTTTTTTTCTAACTTCTTGACTCAATATTCTACCTCATTAATAATTATAATTTGTAATTTTGCTTGATTTTTTTTTTTTTAAATTTGGTTAGAAGGATATCTTTAAGTAGATTTTTCAAGAAAGAATCTTGAAACCTAAATTTTCCCAAAATTTTCCAAATCTGAGAATAGTCCTCTGTTGTCTAAAATGTAAATGACTTCATGTCTCATTTTATAAGCATTGCTACACTATCTCCTGGTTTATAATGTTGCTGTGCACAGCATGAAACTTTAAAAATATTTACATTTTACATAGTTTTCTTCTTCTCTCTAGATGCTTGTAGAATTCTTTCCTCATCTCTGGAGCGCAGTACTTTCATAATAATCAATGGGCCGGGCCGGTGGCTCAAGCCTGTAATCCCAGCACTTTGGGAGGCCGAGATGGGCGGATCACGAGGTCAGGAGTTCGAGACCATCCTGGTTAACACGGTGAAACCCCGTCTCTAACTAAAAAATACAAAAAACGAGCCGGTCAGCGAGGTGGCGGGCGCTGTAGTCCAGCTACTCGGGAGGCTAGGCAGGAGAATGCGTAAACACGGGAGGGCGGAGCTTGCATGTGAGCTGAATCCGGCCACTTTACTCCAGGCCTGGGCGACAGAGCGGAGACTCTGCTCTCAAAAAAAAGAAAAAAAAAAAAAGAAATCACATGTTGGGGCCAGGCGGTGGTGGGCTCATGCCTGTGAAATCCCAGCACTTGGGAAGGCTGAGGCAGGTGGATCATGACGGTCAGGAAGTTCAAGACCAGCATGGCCAACATAGTGAAACCCTGTCTCTACTAAAAATACCAGAAAATTAGCTGGCCATGGTGGTGGAGGCCTGTAATCTCAGCTACTCAGGAGGCTGAGGCAGAGAATTGCTTGAACACGGGAGGCGGAGGTTGCAGTGAGCAGAGATTGTGCCACTGCACTCCAGCCTGGGCAACAGAGCGAGACTCTGTCTCAAAAATAAAAAATAAAAGAGAAAAAAAGAATCAATGTTGGTCTGGGTGTTTCTAAATTTTCCTGTATCTATTAAGTTGTTTTAATCTGTAGCCAAGTCTTTATTTCATAAACATTTTCTGCTGAAATCTCTTCAGATCATTTTCTTCTGTACTATTTACTCTGTTCTTATTTTCAGGGACACCAGTCACATGTATATTGGTTCTCCATTATCTGCTCTCTGTAAACACCTGGCTCTCTATATCCACGGGTTCCAAATCCCTGGATTCACCAATCACAATAAAAAATATTTGAAAAAAATTGCTGGTTGCATCTGTACTAAACATATTCAGTTTTTTTCCTTGTCATTATTCCCTAAATAATACAGCATAACGACTACTTATAGCTGGCTGTGGTGGCTCACACCTGCGATCCTAGCACTTTGGGAGGCTAAGGTGGGCGGATCGCTTGAGCTCAGGAGTTCAAGACCAGCCTGGACAACATAGTGAGACTCCATCTCTACAAAAAATACAAAAATTGGCCAGGTGTGGTGGCTCGTGCCTGTAGTCCGAGTCAGTTGGGATGCTGAGGTGGGAGGATCACCTGAGCCTGGGGAGACTGAGGCTGCAGTGAGCCTTGATCATGCCACTGCACTCCAGCCTGGGTGATAGTAAGACCCTGTCTCAAAAAACAACAACAACAAAAAACTATTTACATAGCATTTACATTGTATTAGAGATATTATAAGTAATCTAGAGATGATCTAAAGGATAATCACGTACTGCATAATGACATTTTGGTCAACAATGGACTGCATATATGACAGTGGTCCCGTAAGATTATAATGGAGCTAAAAAATTACTGTCATCTAGTGAGGTCATGGCCACTATGATGGCTAATTTTTTGTATTTTTAGTACAGACAGGGTTTCACCATATTGCCCAGGCCAATCTCAAACTCCTGGGTTACAGCACCATGCATTACTCACATGTTTGCAGTGACACTGCTCTAAACAAATCTACTGTGCTACAGTCTTATAAAAAAGTCTGGCACATACAATTATGTACGGTACATAATACTGGATAATAACAAGTAACTGTTACTGGTTTATATATTTATTATACTTTTTAATCATTATTTTAGAAGGCACTCTTTCTACTTAAAAAAAAAAAAAAAGTAAACTGTAAAACAGTCTCAGGCAGGTCCTTCGGTAGGTAATCCAAAAGAAGGAATTGCTACAATAGGAAAGAATAGCTCCATGTATGTTATTGCTCCTGAACACTTTCCAGAGGGACAAAATGTGGAGGTGGAAGACAGTGATGCTGATGATCCTGACGCTGTGTAGGCAGGCTGGTGTGTGTGTGTGTGTGTGTGTTGTAATTTTTTTCTTTCTTTTTTTTTGAGACAGGGTCTTGCTCTGTTGCCCAGGCTGGAGTGTAGTCACAAGATCACAGCTCACTGCAACCTCCGCCTCCCGTGTTCAAGCAATTCTCTGCCTCAGCCTCCTGAGTAGCTGAGATTACAGGCCTCCACCACCATGGCCAGCTAATTTTCTGGTATTTTTAGTAGAGACAGGGTTTCACCGTGTTGGCCAGGCTGGTCTCAAACTCCTGACCTCAGGTGATCTACCCGCCTCGGCTTCCCGAAGTGCTGGGATTACAGGCATGAGCCACTGCGCCTGGCTGCGTTTGTGTTTTAAGCTAAGTGTTATTAGGAAAGAGTCAAAATGTTAAAAATAAGAAGTTTATAAAGTAAAAGAGTTACCGTAAGCTAAGGTTAATTTATTATTGAAGAAAAAAATTTTTAATAAAATGAATGTAGCTTATGTATACAGTGTTTATAAAGTCTACAGTGGTATACAATAATGCCCTAGGCCTTCACATTCACTCACCACCCACTCACTGACTCACTCAGAGCAACTTCCAGTCCTGCAAGCTCTATTTATGCATGGTATGTGCCCTATATGGGTGTACTTTTGTTTGTCTTTTTTTTTTTTTTTTTGAGACAGGGTCCCCAGGCTGGAGTACAATGGCACGACCTCAGGCTCGCTGCAACCTCTGTTTCCCGGGTTCAAGCAATTCTCCTGCCTCAGCCTCCCAAGTAGCTGGGATTACAGGTGCCCGCCACCACGCCCAGCTAATTTTTTGTATTTTTAGTAGAGATAGGGTTTCACCATGTTGGCCAGGCTGGTTTTCAACTCCTGACCTCAGGTGATCCACCTGCCTCAGCCTCCCAAAGTGCTAGGATGACAGGTGTGAGCCACCGCGCCCAGCCTTTTGTCTTTTATACTGTATTTTTACTGTACTTTTTCTATATTTAGATATGTTTAGATACATGAATACTAAATTGTGTTACGATTGGCTACAGTTTTCAGTACAATAACAGGCTGTACAGGTTTGTAGTCTAGGAGTAATAGGCTATGCTACATAGCCTAGGTGTGTCGTGGTTACTCCATTTAGGATTGTGTAAGTACTTCTGTGATGTTTGCCCAATGAGAAAATTGCCTAAGGATGCATTTCTTACAATGTATTCTCCTTGTTAAGCAACGCATAACTGTATATGGGAAGATGCAAATAGGTTATATGCAAATACTATGCCATTTTATATAAAAGACTTCAGCATCAGTGGATTTTGGCATCCACAGGGAGTCCTGGTACCAATTCCCCGCAGACAGTGAATGACCGCTGTACATCATTCTCCCTATAATCACTTTCATCTCTTTTTCCTCTTTTACTGCACTTCCTCAATTAGATGGAGGGGACTCATCCCAGAACCTGTCAGCTCATTTCCCACTGAACACTTCTCACCTTTCCATATTTGTTCAGTTTTAGAGTATTTAACTGCTGCTGACACTCTGAATAACTATTCTCCAGCTTTGCCCACGGTGTCCTGGGTGTGCGGCTCTCACTCAGGGTTTCATAGAAATGAAGATGGGGGGAATGACTGAACCAAACTCTTGAATGTAAGGTAACGTGTGAATGGCTTTACTCTGTATGGAAGTATTTTCTCACAGAGAGAAACAGAAAATGCATTTGCAAGTTCCCGTTTACTAGGAAAAAAAGGCAATCACTCACCTCGCTTTCCTTATTAAGTATATCAACAGCTAATTTGGCTGCAGCATTTTTTGCTTCCTTCTTTGATCTACCTTCAGCTTCTGGAAATTTTCTTCTATCTGTTACAACTTGAAATGTAAACCTGATTACAAAAAGAATATTCATAAAATATTATACAACTCATGCACTATCTAAAAACAAGTGCTCTAGTTACCACTACCTCCTGTGACTACCTTTGAGGGTTTGAACGTACATTCAATACAGAATGTAAGCAGTCACCCCAAACAGTAAAACAGCATGTCTTGTTGAAGCATGGAAAGGTTTCTACCCTCTCTTCTCTCTGGAGTCATCTGTGGCTCCAAAGTGGTTACCGCTTTACGCCAAGCGGACTCTCACAAAACAAAAGTGTTGACCTCAAAGTTGTGCCAGAGTTGCCATTCCCCCAGTTTACATTTATAAGATCATATCATTGTTTATAGCAACTTACCTCCTATCATGTGGAGGTCCTGTATTAGGCAGTTCTTGATAGCTCAATGTTATTCCCTGCTTCTGACGGTATTTATTAAGTTCCTCCATGAAGAAACCTGGTGAAAGATGACCAGCCATTTCTTCCAGTATCCTACAATGGAAGAGACATTTGAATGAGTGATGCTCACAGAACATATTTAACCTGAGTTTCCCAATGCAGTTTGGGAGACAGAGGGGTTGGGGAGACTCTCCTTCATAGGACTCATCTCAGTCCCACATAAATGCAGAGACTTTCTTTCAAAACTGTTCTTTCTTTCTCACTCACTGCACAATAAAGTTAATTTCTCCAAATTTTCTACTTTGAAAACTCAACTTGGCCAGGGGTGGTGGCTCACACCTATAAAATCCCAGCATTTTGGGAGGCCAAGGCGGGCGGATCACCTGAGCTCAGGAGTTCAACACCAGCCTGGGCAACATGGCAAAACTCCGTGTCAATTTCAGAATTGTTTTAAAAAATAAAGGAAAGGAAAAAAAAACTCAGCTGGTCAGTGAAAGGGGGTCCTTCTCTTTAACTCTGCCCTGTGCTTCCACTTAGTATCAACTATATGTTTGTCTACCTGCTTAAAGAAGTAAAAAGGCTGCAGGAGTGTAGAATGTTTTATGTTTAGAAGAAAAAAGTTTAGAGTATATGTAATAAGTAAAGTGGAGTGGTAGCACGGGGACAGGCTGGGAAACGAGTGGGCGAGTGTAGCCTGTGTGGACGTGGATCCTGCCCAAAGCCGGGTGGAGGAGAGCTCAAACTAAGGGTGATCAGCCCGTGACCTAGATCTCTGGACAAAATAAAACAAGGAAAATATGTCAGAATCAAGAATGATGGATCGATGTTCAGTTGGAGTCCAGCTTCGTACTACAAATGAGTGCCATAAAACCTACTATACTCGTCACACAGGTTTTAAGACTTTGCAAGAACTGTCATCAAATAATATGCTTTTACTTCAACTCAGAACTGGAATGACACTTTCTAGGAACAATACAATTTGCTTTAATCACATAAAAATTTATATTGACAGATTTGAGGATTTACAGAAGTCGTGTTGTGACCCATTACCATACACAAAAAACTAGCCCCCCCAAAATTTGCATGTAATTGCCTTAGATGATGCCAGTTTTCTGAGTGCAAAATTCAAAAGACAGCTTGTACCTGGTTAGAAGCTGTGTCCAAAATGCAAGCAGATAATCACAGAAGTGTGGATATCAATTCTGAAGACTGCCAGAGAAGGAAATCTGAGTCAGATGGAAGAACTGTTAAAGCTTTGAGGTCATTACAATTTATAAATCCGGAAGGCAAACTGAATTTGCTCCAGAAACTGGTAAAAGAGAAAAAAGAAGGCTTACAAAAAAATGCAACCGCTGGTTCAGACAGACAAGTGATACCAGTGAAGACTAAGGTCTATGATAGCCAGGGTCTCCTGATTTTTAGTGGGATGGAACCCTGTGACTGCCTCGATGAAGATTGCTTAGGATGTTTCTATGCTTGTCCTGCCTGCGCTGTCCTGCCTCCAAGTGTGGAGCTGAATGCCGCTGTGATCGCAAGTGGCTGTATGAGCAAACTGAAATTGAAGGAGGAGAAATAATTCATAATAAACATGCTGGATAATCTGTGGTATCAAACTAGGCGGCCTTTAAAGGTCTTTAATTCTAAAATTCTGTTACTCTAAGCTACACTTTAAGCTTGATTGTCAAACGACAAAGATTTTAAAACCACCTCAATGTGCACTAATTTTTCATCTTGGGTGCTTTAAGATTCACTATTTCATATAAATTCATATAGGCTATTTCTCAGTAGTCAGCGTTAAGCCTGTCTGGACCAGTATAAACAAGTAGGGTATAGGCAGTCCTTGATTTGCATGGTTCCCATGTGCACAAATTTCAGTGACCTAAGTTTAGTTTAAATACCAGTTTCCTTACCATGAAGGAAAGGAAACTGGTGTTGTTTAATCCTAGGTTAAAATTTTAGTTAGCACAGTGTAACTCTGAGTAATTACATGAAGTACAAACTTCTCTGCTAGTTCTTCAGTCTACAAATCACGATGTAAATAACAGATACGCTTCATGATCAGTGACCGGTTGTATTACTTCTTTCAAATTCTTCCAGTGGTTGGTCCCTGTGCATCTGTTATTCAGTCCACTCACAGCAGAGCACGTTGTTACGCTGTCTCTTTGTCCTCCACTTGACATTTTATAGAAGTGAACCATTGAAAGAACTGGCCAACAAAGATGAAAGTCCAGCAAAGCAATGAAAAATGATAACACTGGAAGTGAAATTTGAATCAAACATAAATGGATTTGTAGAAGAAGCCACTGATTACAGGAATGTTGTTCTTGCTGCTGTGCACTCGTAGGAGCTTAGCGAAGGCAAACTTATCAACACAAATAAGAAAAGTGATTGCAATAAACATAAATATGTCCCAGAGGAAGTGATGGTTAAAAAAAAAAAAAAACTTCACGCTAAAGAATATTTAATGTGAATACAGAAATACTTCACAGCATTGAAACACAAGCAATAAAAGGGTGGAAGCTGACCCAAACTTCAAAGGAGTATGACAGTTTACCATGAATAGAAAAGATGCTTACTCAGTATCGTAAGTTACTTGGCAGGAAAAAAGGCAATCTCTATTCAAACTACTTTTCACAGAGAACTAAACATTTTTAAACATTTTTGCATTTTTTCTACATTTACAACTGATCTTAAGAGTTTTAAATATTTTAGCAGAATTTTAAAGGTCATGGAACAATCATCATTTTCCCCATTGATTATTAAGGTTGCTTTGCATGGCCATTTTTCTGGTCCCACAGTACCATGCAATATGAGGACCGCTTGTAGCTGGGAGCAATGCGTGCTTCAGGGAAAACTGATTTTCATAGAACTGACTAGTTGAGTGCTAAACTATTTTGGAAACGCTCTACATATCTAAGTGCTAAAATATATTTCTCTTCTCCCCAATGATTCTTCAAATAAAAAAGTTTTATACTAAAAAAAAATAAGTGTATGAAATCATGAAGGATTTAACTGTATGGACATAGATTTCCCTATGACATCTCAAAAATCTCCCCTCTGAATTTTGCAGAAATCAATTTTAGGACAATTTAACCACTATGTAAATTAAATCCTCTGTTGATAGGTCTCACTGGACCAAGTCTATAGCAATGATTTAAATTATCAACAAAATTTAGAGGATATAAAATATAAATGTACAAGCCAAAACTATAAAACTCTTCGAAGAAAATACGGGGTAGATCTTCATGACTTTGGATTTGGTGATAAAATCTTAGATATGACAGCAAGAGCACAAGCAACGAAAGAAAACAGAGATAAATTGGGCTTCATCAAAATTAAAAACTTTTGTGTATCAAAGGACACTATGAAGAAAATAAAAATGACAATCTACAGAATAGAATATTTGCAAATCATATATCTGATGAGGGTCTAGTAACCAGATAGATAAAGAATTCTTGCAGCTCAACACAAAAAGACAAACCACCCAATTAAAAAATAGGCAAAGGGACTTGAACAGACATCTCTCCAAAGAAAATATGTAAATGGCCAATAAGCACATGAAAAGATACTCAACATCATGAGTCATTAAAGAAATGAAATTCAAAACCACAACTAAATACCGTTTCGCACCCACTAGTATGGCAATAATAATAATAATCAGGAAATAATAATAAAAAAATCAGTGTTGGTGAGGACATGGAAAAACTGGACCCCTCAAACATTGCTGATAGGAATGTAAAACAATACAGTTGCTGGGGTTCCTCTAGAAGGTAAACTTTGAATTATCATAAAACCTAGCAATTCCATTCCTAGGTATTTCAAAGAATTGGAAAACAGGTTTTCAAACAAATACTTAGACAGGAATGTCCATAGCAGTACTGTTAACAATAGCCAAAAGGTGGAAACAAACCAAGTGTCCATCAATGGATAAATGGCGAACAAAATGTGAAATATATCTACACAGTGGAATATTATTCAGTCACAAAAGAAATGAAGTACTGATACACGCTACAACATGGATAAATCTCAAAAACATTATGCAAAATGAAAAATCCAGACACAAAAGTTCACATATATTGCATGATTCCCATTTATATGAAACTTCCAGAATAGGTAAATCCATAAAGACAGAAATCAGATCCTGTAAAACTGTTAATTCTTCTTGGAAAGCTCTTTTGATCTTCTTTCTTCCCGGGCCACTCTTTCTGTTTTTTGTTTTTGAGACAGGGCCTCACTCTGTTGCCCAGGCTGGAGTGCAGTGGCGTGATCTCAGTTCACTGCATCATCTGCCTCCCAGGTTCAAGCAATCTTCCTGCTGCAGCCTCTCAAGTAGCTGGGACTATGGGACTACAGGTGCCCATCACCATGCTAAATTTTGTATTTTTGAGGTTTCCCTGTGTTGACCAGGCCGGTCTCCAACTCCTGAGCTACAGTATCCACCAGCCTCAGCCTCCCAAAGTGCTGGGATTACAGGCATGAGCCACCACGCCTGGCCGGGTCACTCTTTTTAACACACCTTAATCTTTGCAGGCTCTAAATGCTGGCATGGTCCAACAATCCTCTTCTCTTCACTCTATACTTTCTCCTTAAGGTGATTTCTTTCATGTCCATGATTTCAATGATCATCTATATGCCATTACCTCCAACATTTACATATTCCTTATGAACCACTTTGAGTTCCAGATCTCTCTATCCAAATTCTCCACTTGAACATCTTGAACGAACTTTAAACTCAAAATATCCTGTACTGTATTTATGATCTTCTCCCAAGCTGGTTTGAAGTTTCCTTTCACAGGAAATGACTCCACCATCTATCCAAGTCTGAAAGCCATGAATCTGGGAGGCATCCTTGACATTTCCTCTCCCTGCCTTCTAATCTATAACTAAGTCCTATCATCAAAATCTTTCTACTTCCCAAAGATGTCTACACTTACCATCCTAGTTCAAGTCACCACCACCTCATTCCTGGATTGCTGTGAGAATCTCAGAACCAGTTCCGACAGCTACTTCAATTCCTTCTCTACCCTGCAACCAATGTGATTTTTTTTTTTTAATTTTTTTTTATGTTTTAAAATTGTGATAAAATATATATAACATGAAATGTATTCTTTTTCAATGTATTAATTCCCTGCCTTTAAGTCCATTCACAATGTTGTGTAGCTGCCACCACATCCACATCTAGAACTCTTAATCTTTCCAAATAGAAAGTTTGTACCCATTAAACAGCAACTCCCCATTTCCCAGTCCTTTCAGTCTCTGCTAACCTCTTTTTTTTTTTTTTTTTTTTTGAGACAGGGTCTCGCTCTGTTGCCCAGGCTGGAGTGCAGTGGTGTGATCACAGCTTACTGCAGCCTTAAACTCCTGGGCTCAAGCGATCCTCCCACCTCAGCCTCCCAAGTAGCTGGGACCATAGGCGTGGGAACCATGCCTGGTTAATTTTTTATATTTTCTAATCTCTTTTCTGTCTCTATAAATTTGCCTGTTCTAGGTACCTCAGATAAGTGGACTCAAACAGTATTTGTCCTTTTGTGTCTGGTTATTTCACTTAGCATAATGCCTTCAAGGTTCATCTATGTTGTAGTATATGTCAGAATTTCTTTCCTTTTCAAGGCTGAATAATATTCCATTATGTGTATATGCCACATTTTGTTTATCCATTCATTTATGAATGGACACTGGTTATTTCAACCTTTTGGCCATCATGAATCATGCTGCTGTGAACATCGGTATAAATCTATCTGTTTAAGTCCCTACTTCTGAATATTAGTGGTATATACCTATAAGTGGAATTGAATCACATGGTAATTCTGTTTAACTTTGTGATGAACCATCAAATTGTTTTCCACAGTGGCTACACCCATGTTGCATTTCTACCAGCAATGCACGAGGGTTCTAATTTCTCCACGTCCTCACCATCACTTGTTATTATCTGTTTTCTTTTTTAATACAGACACATCATGATCTTTTTAAAACATCAATTCAGTGGCCAGGTGCGGTGGCTCACACCTGTAATCCCAGCACTTTGGGAGGCCAAGGCGGGTGGATCACCTGAGGTCGGGAGTTCAAGACCAGCATGACCAACATGGAGAAATCCTGTTTCTACTACAAAATACAAAATTAGCCGGGGTGGTGGCACATGCCTGTAATCCCAGCTACTCGGGAGGCTGAGGCAGGAGACTCGCTTGAACCCAGGAAGGCGGAGGTTGCATTAAGCCAAGATCGCACCATTACACTCCAGCCTGGGCAACAAGAGCAAAACTCCATTTCAAAAAGAAAAACACACACACACACACATCAATTCAATCATGCAGTCTCCACAAGCCACTGAGATTGTTTTTATCGAGGTTACCAATGGCTTCCCCATCACTAAATCCAGTAGTCAGTTCTCAGTCCTTCTCTACTCAACCTACAACCAGCATTTGATGTGTTGATGTGGTTGCACATCCTCTTCTCTCTCCTCTCCCTGTCTTAGCTTGGACTTTTAAGACACCTACTCTCCTGGTTTTCTTCTTTTGAGACAGAGTTTTGCTCTTGTCACCCAGGCTGGAGTGTGATGGTGGCATCTTGGCTCACTGCAACCTCTGCCTCCCAGGTCCAAGCAATTCTCCTACCTCAGCATTCCGAGTAGCTGGGATTACAGGCGCCCACCACTACACCTGGCTAATTTTTTTGTATTTTTAGTAGAGATGGGGTTTCCCCATTGTTGGCCAGGCTGGTCTCGAACTCCTAATCTCAGATGATCCGCCCGCCTTGGCCTCCCAAAATGCTGCGATTACAGGCATGAGTCACGGCACCTGGCCCTGGTTTTCTTCTGTTCTCACAAGCTACTCCTTTTCTGTCTCCTTTTCTGGTTCCTCTTCAACTTCCTTTCTTCCATTTATTTTTTTTTTAACCCTTCCTATGGTGCTAACTTCCCCTTTTCTAGATATTCCAGCATCACTGGGCCTGGTCCTTAGACTTGTTCTTTTCTACTTAGACTCACTCCCCTGGTGATCACCTCCGGGTCTGTGGTTTTAAATTCCACAGACACAATGATGGTTCTCAAAAGCATGCCTCCACCATGGACTCTCTCCTGAACTCCTAACTGCCTCTGTCCAACCTGCTCCCTGCTAAAATGCCCTTGACTCTACTCCTTCCGCTCTCTTGGCCTGGTCAATTTCTACTTCCTACAGATTTCAGCTCAAAATCCCAGACACTCCTTCACAGGCTCTTCCACAGTGCTCATCCCCTTTATTAAAATCACCTATTTAATAAGCTCTATTTTCCAAAATAGAGCCTGAATTACTAGAGGTAAGGGACCAGGCTCAATAATGAATGAATGAGTACCAAAATATCTCCAGATACCCCATCCAGGACTTGTCACCTGCTTTCCTCTACATGTATAGTGCAATATCTGCATTCTCTCTGTACCCACCAATCTCCCAATCTCCACTCATCAATCAGGATCAACACAGCCTTCTTTGATGCTGGAGGGTCAGCTAGTATGGGCTTGCCACTCCACCTTGCCCAACCTTCATCACAGCCCTGACTGCTTTTTAAACTAATTAGTGAGTTATTTGGGGAGCAGATTCTACATCTTATTCACTCATCTGGAACAAACCTCCATCATAATCACTAAAAAATTGTATTTGTCCATCTTACTAATGCCCAGACATTACTTCGGCTATGCCTCCACTCCCTTCCAGCGACTATAGTCGCCCTGCAGGCTTAGCCCCCTCCAGGGCCAGCACATTGCTTCACATAGATCATTCCTTCAACTAGCATCTGGTTAATAAATGAATAAACGGTGGGGGGCGGTGGCTCACATCTGTAATCCCAGCACTTTGGGAGGCCGAGGTGGGTGGGTCACCTGGCCAACATGGGGAAACCCCGTCTCTACTAAAAATACAAAAATTAGCTGGGCATGGTGGTGCATGCCTGTAATCCCAGCTACTCAGGTGGCTGAGGTAGGAGAATCACTTGAACCCTGGAGGCAGAGTTGCAGTGAGCTGAGACTGCACCACTGCACTCCAGCCTGGGCAACAGAGCAAGACTCCATCTAAAATAAACAAACAAACAAACAAACAAACAAACAAACTATAGGTCAAGTATTCAGGATCTCCAGGTTCTAATAAGCAAACTGAAAAAAATAGCATAATCTGCCCAAGACTCTAAATTTCCAAGTGACATCAGAGAGCCTGTCTTTTACCTTCCATCTGGCATGGCATTTTTAGTACTAAAGAAAACATGGAGCCATGTAATCCTCATGCCTGTAATCCCAGCACTTTGGGAGGCCGAGGCAGGTGGATCACCTGACATCAGGAGTTCGAGACCAGCCTGGCCAACATGATGAAATATACTAAAAATATAAAAATCAGCTTGGTGTGGTAGTGTGTGCCTGTAATCCCAGCTACTCAGGAGGCTGAGGCAGGGGAATCACTGGAACCCTGGAGGCAGAAGTTGCAGTGAGCCGAGATCAAGCTACTATACTCCAGCCTGGGCGACAGAGTGAGACTCCATCTTGAAAGGAGAAAGAAAAGAACAAAGAAGGGAGAGACAGAGAGGGAAACAAGAAAACAAGGAAGGAAGAGAAGAGGAAAAAGAAAAGAAAGGAGGGAGGGAGGCAAGGAAGGAAGGAAAGAAGGAAACATGGGCAACAGGATGCCTCATTATTTTGGAATTCAAAAGGGAGTTTTTGAATTACCATTAATTTAGCAAACATTTAATCAGCACCTATTATGTACTAGGTGCTGGGACTATACTAGTGAACCCTGCTATAGGTAATTGTGAAATTACCAGTGGAGGAACAACCCATAAGAAAATGTCACCGGGTGGCCGGGCGCGGTGCCTCATGCCTATAATCCCAGCATTTTGGGAGGCTGAGGTGGGGGATCACAAGGTCAGGAGTTTGAGACCAGCCTGGCCAATATGGCGAAACCCCGTTGCTACTAAAAATTTAAAAATTAGCTTGCTGTGGTGGTGGGCACCTGTAATCCCAGCTACTCGGGAGGCTGAGGCAAGAGAATCGCTTGAACCCGGGAGGCGGAGGTTGCAGTGAGCCAAGATTGCACCACTGCACTCCAGCCTGGCAACAGAGTGAGAATCTGTCTAAAGAAAAGAAAAAGAAAGAAAAAAAAAGAAAAGGAAAAGAAAAGAAAAGAAAAAAGAAAAGAAAAGTTATCACCAGGTGATAACTACTATGTTGAAAATTGAGGTAGTGGAAGGGGGAACAGCAAGGGCAGAGTGGGGTTTCTTGCATATGCAGGTTGTTTGAGAAAGGCTGCTCTGATAAGCTGGCATGGGAAGCAGTGCAGGATAAGGGAGGGGTTTCCCCATGCAAGTATCTGGGGGAGAAGCTTTCCAGGAAGAAGAAACAGGCCAGTGCAAAGGCCTAGAGGCTGGAGGATGCTTGGCTGTGCGCCAGGAACAGCAAGGAAGCTAGCATGGCCGGAGTAGGGGGTGCAAGGGACCTTGCCGGTGAGCCTTAATAAATGTTTATAGGATTCTGACGAGACAGGAAAGCTATGGGGAAGGTCTGAGCAGGGCAGAGTCTGGTTCTTACTTAAAGGAACATTCCAGTTGCTGAGGTGTGTAGAAGAGGTAGGGGGTGGAGGTTCGGGGGTAAGGAGACGGAGTGGGAACAGGAACCGAGGCCAGGCAATTGGGAAACTACTGCAACTCTCCATGCAAGAGATTTTTAGCCAGAGATTGTTCAGCCAGTCTATGAGTATTTCAGGCCTCCGTATTTTCCATATGTCAAGCCACTAGGCCTATTCATCATCCACTAGACCCAGCCCCACAACCGCTGCCTAGGAAATATTTGTTACTTGCACTGATAAAAATTCTTCGCGGGAAGAAAATGGCTTTCAGTCCCCATCCCGCTCCACGATCCTTTCCCTGGATTCAGGGAGGGCCCCACACCCGGGCTGTGGGCCTCGGACTGCTCTCCCATTGCTGACCCAGCTGGGGCCAGGGGCTTCGGATGAGCTTCCGCGTCCTGAGCTGGGGACGCAGGATCGGCGGGTCCCGCCCCGGCTGGGCCCGCAGCCCCTATCCCGTGGCCCCCCGGCCCCTGCTCCCTGCGCTCCCTCGGCTGCCCCCGGCCCCTCTCACCTGCGCCGCCACCGCCGCCGCCGGCCGGAGACCCGCAGTTTCGGGAGAGCTGGCTCTCAGTTTCGTTTTCCCCTCGGACTCCGCCTTCCCTGCAGCCGCCCGGCCCCCTCTCGCACAAGCCCTCGTCTGCTACGGGATTGGGGTAAATTGGCGCTGGATCCAGAGTGCTCGCGAGAGGCGCCGGCGGCCGGCACTGGCGGGCGGGCTTGTCACCCATGTGCAGCCCCTGCGCGGCCAGGATCCCGGATCCCCAACCGCCTCCCCCTCCCCGCCCCGGGGCTCCTGGAGCAGGTGACTTTGGCTGCATTAGGTTCTGGAATCAAGGGTTCCACTTACTCTCAACACAAATATTTGGAGAGGGGTTGGGAAGATGGATCTTAGCAGCTCCATTTTACAATAGAGGAAATTGAGTAAATGAACTTACCTAGGGGTCCAGCGGCTCGTAAGTGGGAAAGCCAGGATTCAGTTAAAGTCCAGGCCTGTAAACACCAAGGCGCCCCTCCCCACTTGCCACACCACTGCCCCCTCACTTTTACAAGGCTGGGGATGCGAGGCCTGGGGGCGTAATCTCCTTCACTCTGCTCCCACCCGTCCATTCACTCATGAGCAGACACTTGTCAGCCGCTGTAAAAGCACCTGCGGGCCAGTCCTGCTGTTAAAGAGAGCCACCTGCTCCCTACAGTACCCCAGGGAGTTTCCTACTATAGTCCAACACCAGTAGTCCTCGATTTATAGAAATTCTACTCACCTGATGGACTGTGACACACTCCCAGAGTCACACAGAGTTCCACAGTCATTGGCACAGTGACTAATGAGTATTGAGGCACAGAGGAGTTAGATTAACACAACTAGTAAGCAGCGGAGTTAGAACTATAACCAGGAGTCTGTACTCTCAATATCTTAGCTGGGATAAGAGAGGGAGGTGGTCCCAAGACAGACCTCAAATATACTTTAAATATTATGCCTAGGCCGGTGCAATGGCTCATGCCTGTAATCCCAGAAATTTGGGAGACCGAGGGGGGGCAGATCACCTAAGGTCAGGAGTTCAAGACCAGCCTGGCCAACATGGCAAAACCCCGTCTCTACTAAAATACACAAAAATTAGCCGGACGTGGTGGCGGGCACCCGTAATCCCAGCTACTCTGGAGGCTGAGGCAGGGAGAATTGTTTGAACCTGGGAGGCAGAGGTTGCAGTGAGCTGAGATCGTGCCACTGCACTCCAGCCTGGGCTACAGAGTGAGACTCCATCTCAAAAAAAAAAAAAAAAAGAACATTATACCTAGGCAGCCATCTACTCCAGCCTCCCTTCTCCATCCCCCTACAACCCCGCATTGCAGGGTATCAACAACTAAAATCTACACTGTAGCTCAGGTCCTGGGCATAGCTTAAGTCCCTCAAATGTAAAGCACTGGCGGGAGGTTTAGAAGGTGGATATGAGGTAGAACCATTTTTTGTGGCATTTCCAGGTGACAAGAAAACTCTGACAGTGCTGGGTGTCCATTTATCAGCTTTGTGGGTGTTGGGGTGGCTGTGGCAGCAGCAATGGCAGTAGCAAGGACAAGTTTTTCTGACTTTTTGAGCCCCTGAACTGCCCAAGAGAGCTTAAAGAATGAAAAATGACAAGCTCAAGCATGATCAGAGGACGCAAGCTTTTATGACTGCACCAGAAAACCCTCCTAGCCTCAGGGGTGATGTAAAATCTGCCTTCTCTACTGGGGAAAGATTTGGAAGGAATGATATCAGAGGGTTGGTGATGAGGTCTAGGGGAATGATACGATATGGGTGAACCTCTTGGAATGGGCAGAGTGTGAGCATATTGGGCTCCCTGAGGAGCCCAATTCCCTACCGTCTGGGCTCCCCAGGTGCAAAGCTTGGTGCTGCAGGTACCAGAATTACAATATAATTATTTTGAGGTGGAGTCTCGCTGTGTCACCCAGGCTGGAGTGCAGTAGCACGATCTTGACTCACTTTGACCTCTGCCTCCCAGGCTCCAGCAATTTCCCTGCCTCAGCCTCCTAAGTAGCTGGATTACAGTCATGCGCCACCACACCCAGCTAATTTTTGTATTTTTAGTAGGGAAGGGTTTCACCATATTGGCCAGCCTGGTCTGGAACTCCTCACCTCAAGTGATTTCCCCTCCTCGGCCTTCCAAAGTGCCAGGATTACAGGAGTGATCCACCATGCCCGGCCTAGAATTACAATATAAATTTAATTTGCAGCCTCATCAGGTCTCTTCTATGAACATTGAGGGCATTGACTGTAAAAGAATGAAGCCCTGGGAATTTGGGTGGATTTGAATGAATTCAAGTGCCACTGCCCTCCTAAATTCTGCTGTGTCTCCACAGGCTTCCCACCATTGTCTGATAAGGCTGGTACAGCCTACATTGAAGAGCATGAAACAGTCACCCTGCAAGGAGGTGCTGATTCTCCAAATACCCTATCTCTACCTGTGCCTTCACTCCTAGAACTAGAATCAGATGCTAACGCACTCCAAGAGGATATGGACAAGATCTGATTGAGGGGAGACGCTTTACACAACAAAAGAGCAACAGAAAGCAAGAAACAGGCATGACGGTGAGTCTAAAGATGACACGAAGAAAGTTGAAAGTTGAGGCTGAGCGGGGTGGCTCACTCTTGTAATCGCAGCACTTTGGGAGGCCGAGGTGGGCGGATCATGAGGTCAGGAGATCAAGACCATCCTGGCCAACATGGTGAAACCCCGTCTCTACTAAAAATACAAAAATTAGCTGTGCGTGGTAGCATGTGCCTGTAATCCCAGCTACTTGGGAGGCTGAGGCAGGAGAATTGCTTGAACCAGGGAGTCGAAGGTTGCAGTGAGCCAAGATCGTGCCACTGCACTCCAGCCTGGCAACAGAGCGAGAAAAAAGGAAAAAAAAGAAAAGAAAGTTGATGTACTATCTCTAGCAGTGGGAGCGCTTAGCCAGTTTGCCCAGTTGGTTTACTATAATCTGAGCTCAGTGGCAGCTCACACTAAAGGAACATGTAATGCCAAGTAATGCAGATCAAGAAATCAAAAATACTTAGGGAGTCAGGAATATTGGAGTCGATTCATCTTATGCAACGTAGTCACTTACTCCATAACCATGGCCCCCAAGAAACTCCAAAGGCCCCTCCTTCAGTGGCTTGTATGGAGCCAGTGGCTGTTGCATATCGGGCTTCCTTGTGAATGTTCACCAAAGGCACCCACTTCTAAAGAGGCTTTTGAGAAGCAGTTGAGCAAGAAGACTTCTGTTAGCCTTTTCCCTAGCTATACCAGTGCTAGTTCTAACAAATAAAGAGGCTGTGATCGCAGGAATGGAGGATATGTGTGAGTTTATCCACATGGGCTTCTCAGCAAGGCCTTACTTACTACATAACTCTTTGTGATTATCAATACGGTTTTTGACCTATAGTCAATCCCATAAGTCTAGCTCTTTTAATACTCACAGTGACTTTTAGATCAAAATGTATAATGGTAAAGCAACTAATCAGACACAGATAAAACAATCTTGTATGTATCAATTATTCTTAATTCTTTTTTTACTAGCAGAGGAAAAATAATAACTATTATTCTTGCTTTTGGAAATTGTAGAGTGGTCCATATTTATGTTGTACCACATCTCTTGTGGCTCTTTCCCTCAGATGTTTCTGCTTTAGTAATTTGTCTTGCTTACTTATAAAATCTTCTTATCAATAGTCCCCACATGCACATTATTATAAAATCATCGCTATGGTCTGAATGTTTCTGTCCCCCATAAAACTCATAAGTTAAAACCTAAACACCAATGTGATGGTATTAGGAGGTGTGGCCTTTGGGTGGTGGAACTGGTGCTCTTATAAAAGAGGCCCCAGAGATCTGCCTTGTCCCTTTCATCATGCGAAATACAGCAGGAAGGCCGGGCGTGGTGGCACACGCCCTTTGAGAGGCCGAGGTGGGTGGATCACTTGATGCCAGGAGTTCGAGACCATCCTGGCCAACACGGCAAAACCCTGTCTCTACTAAAAATATAAAAATTAGCTGGGCTTGGTGGTGCATGCCTGTAGTTCCAGCTACTCCAGAGGCTATGGCAGGAGCATTGCTTGAACCTGGGAGGCAGAGGTTGCAGTGAGCTGAGATCATGCCACTGCACTCCAGCCTGGGTGACAGAGCAAGACTCTGTCAAAAAAGAAAGAAAGAAAGAAAAAGAAAGAGAGAAAGAGAGAAAGAGAGAAAGGAAGGAAGGAAGGAAGGAAGGAAGGAAGGAAGGAAAGAAGGAAGGGAGGGAAAGAAAAAAAGAAAAAAAAATAGTCAAGCCCAGAGTCATCAAGGGCTTACAAGACACTATATTTCTTGGACCCTGGTTGCCACTCTAACCTTGTCTCTTGTTTCTCCGCCCCCCTTTCATTCTCCTCTAGTTACATTGTCCTCCTTGTGATTTTTCAAGAATGCCAGGTATACTACTGTCTCAGTGCCTTTGTACTTGCTCTTCTTTTTGCCTGGAACCTTGTCCTTCAGATATCTGCAAAACTCACAGATCTTGTTGAAACGTCACTTGCTCATGAAGCCCCCTGACTACACTATTTAAGTTCCAATCATTACTCTCACCCTGTCGTCACTGCCTATCCCCCTCATTCTGTTCTATTTCCCCTCCATGACACTTATAGCCTTTTATTATATAATACAACTTATTGATTCATTGTCTTTGTTATCTCCTTCCTCGAACATGTAAGGTCACATGGACAGGGATTTTTGACTGTTTTATTCACTAATTATTTCATTGTCTGGAATAGATCTGGGCCAAAACTGGGCTGCTGCCTGTTTTTGTAAATAATGCTTTATTAGTGCACAACCACATTCATTCATTTATATATTGTCTTTGGCTGCTTTGACACTAAAATGAGTTGTGTTGAGTCATTGTGACAGAAACTGCATGACCAGTAAAATTGAAAATATTTACTATCTGATCCCTCACAACAAATGTTTGCTGATCCTTGTTCTAGAATGATGACTGGCCATGGAGGAGGAGTGGAACTGGCAAGGACACTGAGAGGCAGCAGCTAATAGGGAAACAAGGAGACGTGGAATCCTACAAGCCAAGTGAAAAAAAAAAACCTTTTTCTGGGAGGAAAGCGTAATCCACTATATCAAATGCTGCTTAACAAATGCTTGTTGAATGAATACTGGGAGACAGATGAAGGCCCCAGTGTTCCTCTCCCTGATGCTATTCCTCTTCCTCTTCTCAGCAGAGATAATCACTCATTTAAGTCATTCACATTTGTGACTTAAAGGGTATTACCTCTGTATGCATTTATTTTAAAAAATAAAATCTTTCTATGTTTTAAACTTGGTTTTTGTATTTATTTTTTTGAAAGAGGTAAAATACACATACCATAAAATTCACCATTTTAACCTTTTTTTTTTTTTTTTTTTGAGACAGAGTTTTGCTATTGCAGAGTTTGCTATTGTCACCCAGGCTGGAGTGTGGTGGCACAATCTCTGGGGTTTCACCCCAGAAAGAAACCTCATATCCATTAAGTAATTCTTATGTATTTTAAGACTTATTTACTTTACCATGGTCAGCCTGGAGATCAAAAATAATCATAATAAATAAAATTAAAAATTAAAAAGGTATTTACTTAATAGACATAGCTCTAATCCATAAATCTCGGCTCACTCCAACCTCCACTTCCTAGGTTCAAGCAATTCGCCTGCCTCAACCTCCCAAGTAGCTGGGATTACAGGTGCCCACCACCACGCCTGGTTAATTTTTCATATTTTTAGTAGAGATGGGGTTTCACCATACTGGGCAGGCTGGTCTCGAATACTCCTGACCTCAGGTGATCCGCCCACCTCAGCCTCCCAAAGTGCTGGGATTACAGGTGTGAGCCACCACACCCAGCCTAGCCCTTTTAAAGCATATGATTAGGGGGACTTAGTACATTCACAATATTGTGCAACCATAACCACTATGTAGTTTCAAAACATTTCATCACCCCAGAAAGAAACCTCATATCCATTAAGTAATTCTTATGTATTTTAAGACTTACTTACTTTACCATGGTCAAACTAGGGATCAAAAATAATCATGATAAATAAAATTAAAATTAAAAAAGGTATTTACTTAAAACACATAGCTCTAATTCATTTATTTTAACTGCTGAATATTTATTTCTATTAATATTTCAAAATTTTCTTATCCATTCTTCTCAGTTTTGTTTTTAAGTTTCTCACTATTTACAAACAATGCTGCAATGAAGATTTTCCTTCTTGTTGCCTTATGCAAATAAGGAAGAGTTTCTCTTAGATATATGCCCAGGAATGTAATTGCTGGATTGTGAAGTACATGCACAAATAACTTCACCAAATTTATTTCCAAAATGTACAGGAGTATACTTCTATTTCTTCTCTCTTATCCTTTGTCTCATTGTTATCATAGATTTACTTCTATATATAAGCCCCAAAATACATTGTTATTACTTTTGCTTTGAATAGATAATTATCTTTTAAAGAGATTTTAAAGACAGATTTTTTTTTAGACAGAGTTTCACTCTGTTACCCAGGCTGGAGTGTGGACTGCACTGGCACGGCAATCTTGGCTTACTGCAAACTCCGCCTCCTGGGCTCAAGTGATTCTCTTGCCTGAGCCTCCTGAGTAGCTGGGATTACAGGCGCCCACCACCACACCTGTCCAAGTTTTGTATTTTTAGTAGAGACAGGATTTCACCACGTTAGTCAGGCTGGGCTCAAACTCCTTACCTCAGGTGATCCACCAGCCTTGGCCTCCCAGAGTGCTGGGATTACAGGCATGAGTCACCACGCCTGGCCATGGGGAAATATGTTTTATATATACCCACACATTTGCCATTTTTGGTGCTCTTCATTCCTCTGTGTAGACCCATATTTCTATCTGGCATCATTTTCCTTCTGTCTAAAGAACTTCTAGTATTTCTATAGTACATATCTGTTGGAAATTATTTTTTTCAGGCTTTATTTGACAGAAAAAGTATTTATCTTCTTTTCTGAGAGATATTTTTGCCTGATATCATATTCTAGGTTGACAAAGATTTTCTTTCAGTCTTTCAAAGATATTACTCCATTGCCTTCTATCTTGCATAGTTTCTGATGAGAAGTCTGTTGTATTTCTTACGTGTTTCTTTATATGTAACATCTTTTTCTTTAGCTGCCTCAAAGATTCCTCTTTGTCACTGGTGTTCAGCAATTGCATTAGGATGTGTTTTGATGCCATTTCATTATGTTTATTCAGCTTGGGGTTTGTTGACCTTCTTGAATCTGCAGATTTAGAGTTATTTGAATTTGAACAATTTCAGTCATCAGTTTCCATTTTTTTCTGTATCTCTTTCCTTTTCCTGATATTCCAATTACATGTAAATTTGCCTGATATTGTCGCATAAGTTACTGAAGTTCTGCTTATGTTTTTCTGTTTTTGTTTTTGTTTTTTTTTTTTCCTGTCTTCATTTAAAATAGTTTCTATTGCTATGCCTTCAAGTTCCCTGCTGTTTTCTTCCTCTTCATCTAATCTACTGTTCTGGGAAACCTACCCAATGCCCTGGGTATTAGTCTCTCCACTTTGACTGGTGGGAACATGAACTATTTCCATCTCTGGATGAAGTTCAGGAAAATTCTTTGGCTCACTGCTTTCCAGCAAGACTTTCCTTGTCTTGATGGAAATTTACACTGTCTTTGTAAAGTTTTATTCCATGCATACACATATCTGCACTCAGTTAAAGATTAGAAAGATTCCCTCTGCAGATCTTTGAGGTTCTTGCTATGTTAAATTTTTAACATACAGTGCTCTTTTCCCCAGCAATCTGCTCTGAAAATCTAGCCTTTTCAGCCTGCCTGACTCCCAATATCCAACTCCAATTTTATGAGACTTTTGTATGAGGTTCCCTTTCCCTATGCTGCAGCTTGGAAACTGCCTATAGGTAGCACGCTCAGGAAGGTGTAGGGATCAACTCACTTGTTTACTCCTTCTCAGAGATCCCAGTATTGCTCTGACTGTTGTTCAATTTTCCTAATTACTACATTTTTTTCTCATTATCTATTTATTTGCCATTTGGATGTCTCTTCTAATAAATTACCTGTCTATATCCTTTACACTGTTTTTTTTTTTTTTTTTAAGAGCACAGGTCTTTGTTGCCCAGGCTGGAGCATAGTGACACAATCATGGCTCTCTGGCAGGCCTCAACCTCCTGGGCACATGCAATCTTCCTGCCTCAGTCTCCTGAGTAGCTGGTACTATAGGCACCCCCACCCACACATGCCTTGTTAATTTTTTCTTGGTAGATATGGGTCTTTGCTAGTTTCTCCAGCTAGTCTTGAGCTCCTGGCCTTAAGTGATTCCCCTCCTCAGCCTCCCAAAGCACTGAGATTACAGGCATGAGCCACAGCACCTGGTACATTTTTTTTTTCCTACTAGGCTATATTTTTTTCATCTATTGATATTAGTTTGTTCTTTATATACTCTAGATATTAGCTTTTTATTTAGTATTTTCTTCTCCCTCCCTTCCCTCCTTCCTCTCATCTCTTTCTCTCCCTTCCTCCTTCCTTCCTTTTCTTTTTTTCTGTTCTCCTTCCTTTCTTCCTTTCCTTCCTTCCTTCCCTCCTTCCTTTTTTTTTTTGACAAAGTATCGCTCTGTTGCCCAGGCTGGAGTATTAGTGGCATGATCTCAGCTCACTGGCAACTTCTTGCTCGGGTTTAAACGATTTTCTGCCTCAGTCTCCCCAGTAACTGGGGATTACAGGTGGCACACCATCACACCCAGCTAATTTTTGTTATTTTTAGTAGAAGATGGGGTTTCCCCATGTTGGCCAGGCTGGTCTTGAACTCCTGACCTCAAGTGATCTGCCTGCTTCGGCCTTCTCAAAGTGCTGGGGATACAGGCAGGAGCCACTCGCGCCGGCCAGTATTCTTTCTTTCTAGACATTTCCATCTTCTCTCATTAGTTCCACATGACTACTTGAGGCTCTGTTGGTAGAAAAAGTCTTGATAGGGCCAGGCATCATGGCTCATGTCTGTAATCCCAACACTTTGGGACCGGCAAGGGCAACTTGGATCACCCTGCGCGGTCAGGAGTTCAACACCAGTCCTGGCCAATATATGGGGGAAACCCCCTGCCTCTATAAAAAATACAAAAAACTAGGGGCCCGTTGTGGTTGTGTGTGCCTGTAATCCTCAGCTACTTCAGGAGGTTGAGGCAGATAATTGTTTGAACCTGAGAGGTGGAGGTTTGCCAATGTGAGCTTGAGATTGTGCACTGCACCCTCCTGCCTGGTGACATAGAGTGCGACTTGTGTCTCAAAAAAAAAAAAAAAAAAGAGAAGAAAAAAGAAAAGTTCTTTATGGTAAAAATAACACGAATCTCTTACCTTCAGCTCTGACTTAAAGATCATATTAAGTAGAAATATAAGGTCCCTTGAGAAGGGGCCTTCCTAAGGCCTACTGCAATGGCATACATGGAGCAGATGAGCAATGCATTTTTCTTGAACCAAATTAGAATGGAATTTATTGCAGAGTTGGAATTAACTCTCCTTCAACATTAAGTCTGAGATAGCCACCCCAAGTGCTTTGATCCATAGTAAGAAAGGAGTTATATTATGACGAAAGTACAGAAAAATGTGCATCATTTGGAGGCCTGTATCATCTATGGCCAAACACAGCTCTAGGTGTGTATCTGATAGTATCTGTTTACCCTCTTATGTGAACCTGGAGCACAAAATAAGTTAAAACTGCAGTGCAATGTATTAATAATAGAGTCCCTTTGAGACAGCTAAAATACCCTTTCTTGAAAAAGTTAACAAACTTTTATTTGTGCTCAAAAATTTCCAATGTTATCATTATTATTAAATTGTATTATTATTTTGTTTTGTATTATTTAGATTTCAATATTGTTTAATTATCATTATTTGATTGAGTTATCATTTAATTATTTAAACTTAATTATTATTAAGGAAAATAAATCTAGGCCTGCTGAATTGACTGGAATCAACCCTAGCAATATGACTCATACTTCAACTTTGCTCCGAGGGAGGTGCCTGCTAAGCACTCTTTGAATTTTTCATCCATTTCCTGGTTCTGAGTTTCACTGAACAAGTTTTTCCAATCACCAACTTCACCTACAACACACAAAAAACAGTAGACCCAGATATCTGTTAGAATATTTCTTCAGGATTTTACCATTTTCAGTGCAATATTTCACTCTGATATATTAAAATGGACACATGGAAAAAGTTTTACACTCTTTGTTTAGTTTTTTCAGATGGTGTCTCGCTGTGTTGCCCAGGCTGGAGCGCCCTGGTGCGATCTCGGCTCACTGCAACCTCTGCCTTCTGGGCTCAAGCAATTCTCCCTGCCTTAGCCTACTGAGTAGCTGAGATTACAGGCGCCTGCCACCACACCCGGCTAATTTTGTATTTTTAGTAGAGATGGGGTTTTGCTATGTTGGCCAGGCTTGTCTCGAACTCCTGGCCTCAGGTGATCCGCCCACCTCGGCCTCCCAAAGTGCTGGCATTACAGGCGTGAGCTACTGTGCCCAGTCAAAAGTTTTACACTTTTAAAACCTAATGTGATTTCTGTTGTAAAATTAACAATATCCATTGGGACTCCACCATCTGTGGTGTGGGAGGTGACATGTTTTCTTTACATCACTAGGGGGAGCCCATCAGCCTCAATGACCCCTTAACCTTACTCCTCTCCAAACGCCTAGAACTTGAAATTCCACTTTTTGAGAAATGATATTTTTCTTTCTAAAGTCTCTTAAAGACTTTAAATACCCTTTGAAAGTTAACATTTTATAGCAAGTTTTCGTTAAGACCTCAGATACTGATAATTTTGCAAAAATGTATTATTTTGCCTGAGTTTGGGATGTTTGTTCTTACTGGCTGTTACCAGTAAAGAAAGTTACTTTTTTCTTAATGATCTTTTGATCATTTAGGTTGAAGTTGTAAGTTCTATATTTCACTATGTTGGCCAGGCTGGTCTTGAACTCCTGACCTCATGATCCACTCACCTCGGCCTCCCAAAGTGCTGGGATTACAGGCATGAGCCACTGTGCCCGGCCTCAGAACTTCAGTGTTTTTTACAATAAAATTTAAGCCCAACAAAATGTTTAATATATGATAGATGCCTGCTGTTAGCTGTTGTTGTCCTTGCTGGTATATGTGCTACCTCTACATCTCATTATTTCATTATGTACTCAATGAAAAATAACACTGGCAATCCTTAAGCTATATTATCACACATTTCCACAAGAACTTAGAATACTTTAATGAAATATAGTAAATATCATCCATGTCAGAGAGAGCTAATTGTCTCTCCCACAGTCATTTTCTTCCTCTTCCTTATTGACAAAACCCTGATTTTAACTGTGTAGTAATACGCCTGGCTTTAAAAAGTCACATTTCCCAGCCACCACTGCAAGGAAAGTGGCCAATGAAATGTAAGAAGTTATTGGCCAGGCATGGTGGCTCACACCTGTAATCCCAGCACATTGGGAGGCTGAGATGGTGGATCACCTGAGGTCAGGAGTTCGAGACCAGCCTGGCCAACATGGTGAAATGCCATCTCTACTAAAAATACAATTATTATCTGGGCATAGTAATGGGTGGCTATAATCCCAGCTACTCAGGGGCTGAGGCAGGAGAATCACTTGAACCCAGGAGGCGGAGGTTGCCATAAGCTGAGGTTGCCATGAGCTGAGGTCATGCTACTGCACTTCAGCCTGGGTGACAGAGCAAGACTCTGTCTCGGAAAAAAAAGAAAAAGAGAGAGAGAAAGAAAGGAGTCATTGGCCAGGTGCGGTGGCTCACACCTGCAATCCAGCACTTTGGGAGAGGAGTTTGAGACCAGCCTGGCCAATATGGCAAAACCCCGTCTCTACTAAAAATACCAAAAAATTAGCCAGGCATGACAGTGCACACAAGAATCTCGTGAACCCAGGAGGCAGACGTTGTAGTGAGCCGAGATTGTGCCACTGCATTCCAGCCTGGGCAACACAGCAAGATTCTGTCTCAAAAAAAAAAGTCACTGATGGGGCTTCCAGAAAAGTTATTTAAAGGGGGCTCGCTCAACTAATACGATTCTGCCCCTTGCCCATTTGCTTTCTCCTATCTGAATTTGAACATAATACTTGAACTTCAGCTGCTATCTTGTTTTCAGAAGGTCATCATCAGAAAGGACTCTCAACCACAGAAAGGACTGTAAAAGACGATATGGGGCAGCCAGGCACGGTGGCTCATGCCTGTAATCCCAGCACTTTGGGAGGCCAAGGCGGGCGGATCACAAGGTCAGGAGATCAAGACCATCCTGGCCAACACAGTAAAATCCTGTCTTTACTAAAAATACAAAAAAATTAACTGGGTGCGGTGGCGGGCGCCTGTTAGTCCCAGCTACTCGGGAGGCTGAGGTAGGAGAATCACTTGAACCCGGGAGGCGGAGGTTGCAGTTAGCCAAGATCGAGCCACTGCACTCCAGCCTGGGCGACAGAGCGAGACTCCATCTCAAAACAAAGAAATAAACAAAAAAAAGATGGTATAGGGCTGCCAGTTACAGCTCTGGAGAGCCTGTGCCCAGACCTCTTATTGAGGCAGAGAAAAATAAAACCCTATCCTACTTAAGATAAAGTTATATGGATTACCTATTGTGTGCATAGTCAGTCCCTAACTGATACAATCTCAGAAACCAGTGCAACTTTACCTTTGCGGAAAAGGAATGGGCCGACAGCACCGTGTGTGTCCTGAGACTTTGCACGCATTGCTTGGAAGGTGCTCTGGACTGAGATAGTTTGAATTTGCTCCCCAGTTAGAAAGAATCCCAAGAAGTCAGCAATCTGTTTTATTCCAGCAGCCAGATTCTGTAAAAAAAAAAAATTTCTTAAAGATAAACTTCTTCCTATGGGAATTGTTCTCTGTGCTAAGACAGACTTTTTAGTCACTGGAGTTACTAAGCCTAACTCCCTAGTTCATCTTATACCCCCACTTTAAACTTAGAGTACTTTCATCTCTTATATCAATATTGAGATATCTCTATAAGATATTCTGTATTGATTATACTTTGTAGTTTCAACTTATGACTCTTGTTGAACTTACCAGATAATAGATTTTACCATGTAAATAATGACAGTAACATTAATTCACAGGTTATAATTTCATCTAGGATGATATCATTGCATTAAAAAACACCAACCTAGACCAGCTGAGGAAATTAATGTATTTGTGTGTGCTCATTTGAATTCTCTTTTTTTCTGAATTCTATTTATAGTTAATGTTTAATTCCATTAAGAAAGTCTAATTTTTAGAATCATAAAAACTTGAAGAAATTTTTTTTTTTTAGAAAGAGTCTTGCTCTGCTGTCCAGGCTAGAGTGGTGCAAGGGCACCATCACGGCTCACTGCAGCCTCAACTTCCCGGGCTCCAGCAATCCTCACACCTCAGCCTTCTGAATAGCTGGGAGAACAGGTGTGTGCGACCACGTCTGGCTAATTCTTGTATTTTTGTAGAGACAGGGTTTCGCCATGTTGCCCAGGCTGCTATCAGAGTCTTTAATAGACCAGTGCACAATGTGAATCTCCAAGAGAGCAGGCTATAGAACACAGCACTTCCTAAATCTATTTAAATAACCTCCTCCCAAACCTCAAGAAATAATTTTTAACAGCTGAGGCAACACTTGTATTCTATGGTGCACAAGTTTCAGAAACATTATTCTAAACTAGCATTAATATGTTCTTTCATATTATATACATGCATCCTATAAACAGAAAGGGTAGATTAAATTACACTTCTTTTTTTTTTTTTTTTTGAGACAGAGTTTCTTGTTGCCCAGGGTGGAGTACAGTGGCACGATCTTGGCTCACTGCAACCTCCACCTCCAGGGGTCCAGCAATTCTCCTGCCTCAGCCTCCTGAGTAGCTGGAATTACAGGTGCGTGCCACCACATCAGGATAATTTTTGTATTTTTACTAGAAACAGTTTCACCATGTTGGCCAGGCTGGTCTCGAACTCCTGACGTCAGGTGATTCACCCAGCTTGGCCTCCCAAAGTGCTGGGATTACAGGCGTGAGCCACTGTGCCTGGCCTAAACCATACATTTTTGTTGTTGTTGTTTTGTTTTGTTTTGTTTTTTGTTTTTGAGATGGAGTCTTGCTCTGTGGCCCAGGCTGGAGTGCAATGGTGCAATATCAGCTCACTGAAACCTCTACCTCCTGGGTTCAAGTGAGTCTCCTGCCTCAGCCTCCCGAGTAGTTGGGAATTACAGGCGTGCACCACCACACCCAGCTAATTTTTGTATTTTCAGTAGAAACGGGGTTTCACTGTGTTGGTCAGACTTGTCTCAAACTCCCGACCTCAGGTGATCCATCCGCCTCGGCCTCTCAAAGTGTTGAGATTACAGGCATGAGCCACTACGCCTGACCTAAACCACATTTTCTTTGTATAAGAATGTAACGGAAGACTGGTATTAGAAACTCAATTAAGTTAAGGAGCACTTGATACTCCCTTCTCTTTAACATGCTTTCTCCACAGGACTCTGCTTTCCTTCCTACCTCATAGTCTTTCCCTCTTCCTGGTCTCCTTTGCTGATTCCTCCTTTTTTTCCCAAACTCTTTAAATTGGTGGGCTCCAAGACTCAGTTCTTGGTCATCTTCTCTCTATATATACCCAGGTATATATTTCCACAGCTTTAAAGCACATCTATGTGTCAGCGATGCCCAAACTTTATCTACAGCCCAGAACTCTCTGTACTTGCAAGGCTTGTACGCCCAACTGCCTACTTGACCTCTCAATTAGGATGACTAATAAACGTCTCAAATTTAACGTGTCCAAAACCAAACCTCTGCTCTCCCCGACAGTCATTCACCTGCTGCCATCTCCTACTCAATTGATGGCAACTCGGCCCTCAATATTATTGGTCAGGCCAATAAAATTGGAGGCTTACTTGACTTCTCTCCTTCTCTTGCCACTCTCCCCTCCATCCAATTCAGCAGCAAATACTGTTGGCCCTCCCTTCAACATATATCCAGAATGCAACCACTTCTCCTCCCCCGCATGGCCCCTTCTTGGCCTGAGGCACCATCTTCCTTTGCCTGGACTATTGCAGTGCCCTCTTTACAGCCCTCCCAGCATTTGCTTTGCCCCAGTTCATTCTCACACCTAGCCAGAACGATCTTGTTAAAAACGCGTCTGCTCCAATCACTCCTCTGCTCAGATCCCACAATGGCTTCCCACTTTCCTCAAAGTGAAAGCCAGAGTCAGTGGCTTGCCATTCTATCCCTCATATACCATCCTACCTCCTTGACTCTGTCCTCATTGGCTGTTCAGCCCTGGTTTATTCCTGCTGACCCAGGCACATCTGCTGTCTCTTAATCTCACCAGGACTATCCCAGCTTTTGCTCCAGTTGATTCCCTCTGCCAGAAATGCTCTTCCCCAATTACCTACTTGGCTCACTCCCCCACTTCCCTCAGATCTTTGCTCAAATCACATCCCCTCAATAAGTTCTCTCCTAACCTTCCTGTTCCTTTTTTTTTGTTTTGTGATACAGGATCTCACTCTGTCACCCAGGCTGGAGTGTGGTAGTCTAATCATGGCTCACTGCAGCCTCCACCTCCTAGGCTCAAGTGATCCTCCAGTCTCAGCTTCCTGAGTAGCTGGTACTACAGGTGCATGCCTAATTTTTTGAAATGTGCCCAGGGTGGTCTCGAACTCCTGGTCTGAAGTGATCCCCCTGCCTCAGCCTCCCAAAGTGGTGGGATTGTAGGTATGAGCCACCACACCAGCCTGAGCACCATATTTTACACTGGAATGTGTCCAATCCTTCCCCATGCCTTGCACCCCAGCATTTTTAATTTTCCTTCACTAGCTATGCTGTTTCTTTTTTTTCTCACATACTATATACATTTTAAAAATTATTGTGTTTATTATGTATCATTCTTTCTTTCCACCTTCTCCAACTGGCATGTAAGTTACTACAGGGTAATGATCTTTGTCTGGTCTGTTCATTGATGTATCACCAGGGCCTAATTGGTGAGCAATCACTCACTAGATACTTGTTACATCAATAATCAATTTTTTTAAAATAACTTGACTGGAAAAATTAGTTCACAATAAAATGTATGTTCAATTAAATCGACTGAGACCTAACTATTTGTTTTTTTTTTTTTTTCATTACGAATTTGAGCTATCCATCATAAAGGGAAAATAAAGCAGTTACTTTTAGTAATAAGTTGCTAAGCATTATTTTATTTCTGTTAAATGAACAACCTAAGCATGTATGCATGGTTTGAGTTTTCTTTTCTAGTACCGTACCATGTATCTGGAATATTTTAAAAAATTGAACACCATATTTGTTCATACAATCGGACATTATAAGTAAGTGCTCTATGTTGTAACTTACAAGAAATTTTGCTCTAAAATATAAAGAATAATCTCACCTCTTTCAGGTCTTCATACAATATGAACTTAACATTGTCGCCATCAAGATGTTTGTTCCAATTGATTGCAAAATCAAAATAGCTTCCCCAAGAAACTAAAAACACAGTGGGGAAGACTTTAAGAAATGTTGAATAACAGAGGTTAAAATGATAGTTAATTTATGCTATAAAATATAAACTATACATATGTGTATATGCTCGAGATATGTTTATGTTATTATAAATCCCTGCCACCAAAAGGTGACAGAAATCAGTCCCATTGTCTAAATTTCTATTTATTTTCTTACCTTTTGGAACGTTTTTCATAAATAACACAAAATTAAGCAAGTTACAAAAATGATTTACAAAAACTACAAGACATTCATGAATATTTAGGTGGATAAAAAAATTCAGAAATAGTGAATGGCACATGAAACCGGACAGAGATAATGCCAGAAAGAAATGATGAAAAAGACATTTTCTAGGCTGTCATTGTTCAAAAAAAATGTAATGCTAGCCGTATATGTAATTTTAAAAAAACAAATGAAATTAATTTTAATGTTTTACTCCACTTAACACAATTTATCAAAAATATTATTCCATCATGTAATCTACAAAAATTTATGAGTGAAGCATTACATTCTTTTTTTTTTTTTTTTTTTGAAACGGAGTCTTGCTGTGTCACCCAGGCTGGAGTGCAGTGGCTGGATCTCCGCTCACAGCAAGTTCCGCCTCCCGGGTTTACGCTATTCTCCTGCCTCAGCCTCTTGAGTAGCTGGGACTACAGGCGCCTGCCACCTCGCCCGGCTAGTTTTTTGTATTTTTTTAGTAGAGACGGGGGTTTCACTGTGTTAACCAGGATGGTCTCGATCTCCTGACCTCGTGATCTGCCCATCTCGGCCTCCCAAAATGCTGGGATTACAGGCGTGAGCCACCGTGCCCGGCCGCTTTACATTCTTTTAATATTCTAAATCTTCAAAAGCCATTGAGTATGAGACATATACTGAGAATCTCAATTTGGATGCTAAATTTTTATTGAAAATACTTGATGTATGTTTAGATTTAATAAAACTTACAGTTTAAAAAGTATATTCACAAAACCAACTTATTACACTTACTTAAAAGTTTTCCAGTAGGCCACGCATGGTGGGTCACGCCTGTAATCCCAGCTCTTTGGGAGGTCAAGGCAGGTAGATTGCCTGAGCTCTGGAGTTGGAGACTAGCCTGGGCAACATGATGAAACCCTGTCTCTACTAAAATACAAAAAATTAGCTGGGCTTGGAGGCCTGCACTTGTAATCCCAGCTACTCGGGAGGTTGAGGCAGGAGAATTGCTTGAACTTGGGAGGCAGCGGTTGCAGTGAGCCAAGATGGTGCCACTGCACTCCAGCCTGAGCAATAGAGCGAGACTCCATGTCCAAAAAAAAAAAAAGTTTTCCAGTAACTGAATTGTATATCCATTAAAAATTTTGAATTAATTCAAATTTTTTAAAATGAAAAATTTAGTTATTTAGCACCAGTCCCATTTCAAGTGCTCAGTTGTCACATATGGTTAGTGGCTACCACGTTGGACAGTGCGGATGTAGACACGGATCAGCTGTGCTGTTTACTAGCTGTGTAACTTTGAGCAACTCCTAAAACTCCTTGTAGCTTAGATTCCTCATCTGTAAAATGGGGCGTTATGAGGTTTAAATGAATTAACACATGTCAAATGCTAAAAACAGTGCCTGCTTCACTATAACACTAGCTTTTTTTTTTTTTTTTTGTGAGGGAGTCTTGCTCTGTCACCCAGGCTGGAGTGCAGTGGTGCGATATTGGCTCACTGCAATTTCTGCCTCCTGGGTTCAAGCAATTCTCCCGTCTCAGTCTCCTGAGTAGCTGGGACTACAGGCACACGCCACCATGCCTGGCTAACGTTTGTATTTTTGGTAGAGACGGGGTTTCACCATATTGGTCAGGCTTGTCTCGAACTCCTGACCTCAGGTGATCCACCCGCCTCGGCCTCCCAAAGTGCTGGGATTACAGGTGTGAGCCACCCCACCCGGCCTCAATAGCCATTACTATTATTATCATTACTATTATTAATAATATAATTATTATCACGATCATTGTTATCATGAAGCCCTTGCTTTGAGCCAGGCAGTTTCTATGTGTTTTATTTGCTGTCACAAATACTGTAAGTTGTCCACCCAACATCCAATACATCCTGTTTTTTGTTGCTAACCAAACCCTGATTATTTGGGTCTAAGCTGATCACGACAATTCTGTTTCTTGATTTCCTGCCTTCCTCAGAGCTGTAAGTGGCCACATGAAATGGTTCCGCCCAGTGAGACACAAGCAAGAGTCTGCTGGAAGGTTTCTGGCAAAACTATTGCTGTGTGGAGCTAAGAAACACACTTGGCTACTGCTATCCTTCCTCCTTTTTCATGACCTAAAGGTGATGATTGGAAGGATAGTAGCCAATTTCAGGGTCTATTGCAAAAAGTATGAGACAGAGGCCAAGGGAATATCAGAGGTGCAGGCCAGTGATCCCAGGAACCAGCCACCTACCTTCAGACTTCCTATTAAATGAGAAAAACAAACCTTTCCAAGGATGGATAGGGAAACAGAGACTCCCTAAAATAGGTTGTCCCACTAATGACAAGTTTCTCATCATCATTTGCAACAACATGGAGGGAGGACATTATGTTAACCAAAATAAGCTAGATACAAAAAGAAAAATATGGAGCCTGGGCAATATAGTGAGGCTGCATCTCTACAAAAAGAAAAAAAAAAAAATCAGCTGGTCATGGTGGCGCGTGCCTGTGGTCCCAGTTACTTAGGAGGCTGAGGATCACGTGAGCCCAGGAGGTCAAGGCTGCAGTAAGCCTCGCAGCTTCACTGCAGCCTAGGTGACAGAGTGAAACCTTGTCTCAAAATAAAAAAAAAAGAAAAGAAAAGAAAAGAAAAAAAGAGAAGAAGAAGAATACACCGTGATCTCACTTATATGTGGAATCTTTACAAAGTCAGATACATAATAGAGAGTAGGATGGTGGTTACAGGGGTAGGGAAGGGCAGGAAATGGGAAGACATAAGTCAAAAGGTACAAACTTGTTACGTAGTTATGAATTATTCAGTTATGGGTATCTTGAGATCTAATGTACAGCATGAGGATGGCAGTTAATGACAGTTAATGATTTTATACCATATAATATTTGTTAAAAGAGTAGATTTTAGGTGTTCTTACTAAACACAAAAAAGGTAATTGTGTGACATGATGGAGATGTTAATTTGCTTGATTGCATTAATCATTTCATTATGTATGTGGTGAAATATCATGTTGTACACCTTAAATATGTACAACAAAAATAATTTTAAAAAGTAGTCCTCTTAGAGTGAACTGACAACAGCTTCTCCTCCAGGGTCATTGGGCTTTAATATCCCATTTATTACACTGTAGAGACTCAGAGAAGCCACTAATAAAAGGAATCAGTTACTGGTCTCTGGCCACTATACTCATGGATATAGAGTCACTGCCACTTATAAGCATTGGCAAGTGATTTAACTTTTTTTTCTGAGATGGAGTTTCACTCTTGTTGCCCAGGCTGGAGGGCAATGGTGCCTTATCTGCTTACTGCAACCTCTGCCTCCTGGATTCAAATGGTTCTCCTGCATCAGCCTCACAAGTAGCTGAAATTACAGGCATTAGCCACCCCGCCTGGCTAATTTTGTATTTTTATTTCTTTATTTTTTATTTTATTTTATTTTATTTTATTTTATTTTATTTTATTTTTTGTGTTGAAGTTTTGCTGTGTCACCCATGCTGGTGTGCAGTTGATCAATCTCGGCTCACTGCAACCTCCGCTTCCTGGGTTCAAGCAATTCTTCTGCCTCAGCCTCCTGAGTAGCTGGGATTACAGGCATGCGCCTCCACACCTGGCTAATTTTTGTATTTTTAGTAGAGACGGGGTTTTGCCATGTTGGCCAGACTGATCTCAAACTCCTAACCTCAAGTCATCCACCCACCTCGGCCTCCCATAGAGAGAAAGAATGACAGTAGGAAACTGAGGAAGAGCTACTGTGCCCGTCTGATTTATATTTTGATTAGTTTCCTCATCTGTTCAATGGAGCTAATACCACCTTACTCATAGTTTGTTATAAATCTTAAATAAAATAATGCATAGACAACCCCTACTTTAGCGCCTGGAGCATTAGTAGACACTTGTAGTTATCAATAAACCAGAGACAAAATATCAACATGTTTAACAAAAACTTATTTCTCACAAAAACTTATTTTCTTTCTAGCAAACAAATGTCTTAGGTATAGTAGCTCAGTGTCATGGTTTTTAAAAAATTTTTTTGTTTTTATCAATGTTATATGGTGACAAGGAAGTTAACTACAAATGGTTTTCTACATCACTCTCTGTTAAAGCTCTCTTTGGTCACTCTGTACTCATAGTCAACATATGACTTGTCCAAATTAGTTTGCTTTTTTTGTTTTGTTTTGTTTTTGTTTTGAGATGGAGTCTCACTCTGCCAAGCTGGAGTGCAGTGGCGCCATCTCAGCTCACTGCAACCTCTGCCTCCTGGGTACAAGCGATTTTCCTGCCTCAGCCTCCGGAGTAGCTGGGACTACAGGTGTGTGCCACCACGCCCGGCTAATTTTTTGTAGCCAGGATGGTCTCGATCTCCTGACCTCGTGATCCACCTGCCTTGACCTCCCAAAGTGCTGGGATTACAGGCGTGAGCCACCGCGCCCAGCCCCAAATTAGTTTTTAAAACAGCAATGCATTTAATTGTGGGATGCACAGAACTAATGGTGCTATAACAGTTCATTTAAGTGTAACTTTTTGGTTCCCAGATCTACCTAAATCTTCTTCCTTTACCCTAAAACACATTTGGGTTTTCACATTTGTGTGGTTATCTGTTCAAGTAAGAAGAATTCTTTTGCCAACAGCCATACCTTGTCCTTTCATGAACTGTCTGAAGAATTCATCCCAAGAGCAATAGCTTGGAATATCGGGGACGTCGTTGTGGAAATGGAAAAAAGATACTGCCGTATCTTTAGGGTTTCGAAATATCACCAATATCTAGGGAGCAAAAACTGAGTTAATTTATTTAGGTCTATGTTTTGAAATCTGGAAAATCGACAGGGCGAGCAACATCATGTCCACTCGTATATTACATAATTGTGTTAATATAGAGAGAAAGAATGACAGTAGGAAACTGAGGAACAGGAGGTGGCTGATGGGGAAATATGGGGAAAGGAAAGAAAGAAGAAGAAAAAGATTGATATTGTAGCAGAGGATTCTTGCTAATGAATTTAGGCAACAAGATGCATGGAAGATGTAAAAAGGAAAAAAAAAGACCAAGCTCACTAGGATAATCACAAAAGTATGACCTGAAAGTTTAAACCCCCAAATAAAAATTGCAAATAATGTTAAGGACGACAAAAATAATGTTTTAGAGTTGGTGAGAGAAGATTAAAGAATGGCAAAGCCCACTCTCTGTGTATGATGTTCATGGGTGAGTAGATGACACAGAACGTCTGAATTCCTATATCTGTCTTCTTTGATGAGGAAAGTGTTCCTTTGGATGAGTAGCGTGAAATAAACATTGTAAAGAACAAACTGAAACCCCAGAGAACTAGAAGATTGTAGAGGATTACACGTCTGCTCCAAGTTCAGCCTTCTGGCCTGAAGCCTTCCATTTCAAGAACTGAGGAAACTGGAGGACACGTGATCCAGCATGTTCCTGAATTCCGAGGAATCCGAAAACATGTGAGGCCAGACAACTAGAACAGGCAGAAGTCATTTCCCTTTCAGAAAGGGGAAAGATGTGGATTTTGCAAAGTGCAGATTTGTGATATTCACTTTCATTTGGGAGAAGTCTAGAATTGACTAAAAACAAGATTTGGGGCCACGTAAGGGACTGGATTTTTTCAACATGGTTTTAGATTAGTAGGTGGAGTAGCTTATGCTTTCTCCTACAAAAAAAGTAAGAATGTAAGCCAGCAGCAGGAGCAGTTAGGCATATGAAACTCACTGGGGGCTGGCCGTGGTGGCTCACGCCTGTTATCCCGGCACTTTGTGAGGCTGAGGCAGGTGGATCACTTGAGGTCGAGTTCAAGACCAGCCTGGCCAACGTGGAAAAACCCTGCCTCTACTAAAAATACAAAAATTAGCCAGGCGCGGTGTTGCGCACCTGTAGTCCCAGCTACTCAGGAGACTGAGGCAGGAGAATTGATTGAACCTAGGAGACGGAGGTTGCTGAGATCGTGCCATTGCACTGCATCCTGGGCAACAGAGCAAGACTCCATCAGAAAAACAATAACAACAACAAAACTGACTGGGTATAGTTAATTAACTAATGTAAACCTGCTGGGAGGTTTTTAATAAGCCCTTCCACTATCTTGGCTGGGTCATAGTTAATATTTTAATTAATGATTTAGGTAAAGATATAGAAACTGTATTTACCAAATTTGTAAATAACATGACAGTGGGAGGGAATCAGGATATCAAAATACCTTGTCTGCCTAAAGAATTTAACTAACACTAACAGGATAAAATTGAGTAGAGATCAATGGGTCTGGGTCTTGTCTTGTGCTTAGATCTAACACTCATCCCTGCTGCCAGTCCAAATATAGTAGATTCTTGTCATTTGAGGGTTTTATATTTGAGGCTTTAACTACCACTCAATTGGCCTGGCTGGTAGCAATCTGTAAGTTTACAAAGACGTAAGTTTACAAAGACATAAATTTAAATTTGAGGGCTAATTGGCTGGAGTATGAACAAATTCCACACATCAACATCTTACCTCCCTGCTGTTGCTCTTGTTTTTTTGTTGTTCTTTTTGAGACTGGGTCTGACTCTGTCACCCAGGCTGGAGCACAGTAGTGTGATCTCCTTACTGCAACCTCCGCCTCCTGGGCTCAAGCAATCCTCCACCTCAGCCTCCCAAGTAGCTGGGACCACAGCAGTGCACCACCATGCCCAGCTAATTTTTGTATTTTTTGTAGAGACGGGGGTTGCCCAGGCTGGTCTTGAACTCCTGGGCTCAAGTGATCCTCCTGCCTCAGCCTCCCAAAGTGCTGGGATTACAGATGTGAGCCACTGCATCCAGTCCCTGTTGCTCTTTTCTTGCCCTTGTATTCTTACAAATGTGAAACTCTGTTCAAAAGCCTGCGTGCCCCAAGTTCAACGCTTTATAAATTACTTCAGCTCTGTTTATTATAGAGACGCTAAGGAAAAATGTGTTAACTGCATTCAACGGGGGAAATTATGTGTTAAAGTGGTATTTCAGTCTTTACAAATACTCAATACAAGGAAAAACTGTTTAACAGCGCTATTCAAAGCTGGCTTAGGGGATGCTGGAGATCTTTGTCATTGGAGGTGCTCAATCATGGTCCAGCTGCTTAGTGGAATTCAAACACTCGATGGGAATTAGCATAGATGACCTTTAAGATATTTTCCCATTTTAAGCTACTAAGATTCTTGTATCATGGCCACAAAGCTGCTCATTCTAAACCTCCACTTCCCTAAGGTTTGCTTGCCTACTCTTCCTTTCTTATTTTGCTTCCCCTCCTGTCTCTTACCATTGAAACTGTAGTTATCTTAACAGTTTTCCTCTTTTGCCTTTCTTTGCTCTTATCTCACTAGTCTCCCATTCTTGCTGGCGTTCAGCGGGAGTTTAATTTTTTTTTTTTTTCCAGACAAGGTCTCGCTCTGCCACCCAGGCTGGAGAGCAGTGGTGAGATTTTGGCTCACTGCAACCTCTATCTCTCGGATTCAAGTGATTCTCCTACCTCAGCCTCCCAAGTAGCTGGGATTACAGGCACGTGCTATCACACCTGGCTATTTTTACTAGGTTGGTGCAAAAGTAATTGGGGTTTTTGCCATTAAAAGTAATGCAAAAACCTCAGTTACTTTTGCACCAACCTAATATTTTTTTGTAGAGATGGGGTTTCACCATGTTGGCCAGGCTGGTCTTAAACTACTGACTTCAAGTGATTTGCCCACCTTGGCCTCTCAAAGTGCTGGAATTAGAAGCATGGGTCACCACACCCTGCAGGGAGTTTAAATCTTGATTGTAACTAATTCAAATCATTTTCTTCTGAGACAGAAAAAAGGCACCGAGAAATAAGGAATGGAGGGGAGACCAGGTGAGAGGAAACAGAAAGGGTTAGGTAAAAACTAGTAATTACAAGAAATATATCAATACTGATTAATAAAAAAACATTTTTAAACAAATTGTAAGAATAGCCAAAGCACATATAGTTCTGTATGCATGCTGTAAAGTTTGTTACTATATGTGAAATTCAAAAATAAAATAGTTTTAGCCAGGCATGGTGGCTCATGCCTGTCATCTCACCACTTTGGGAGGCCTTGGTGGCAGAAGGATCCCTCAAGGCCAGGAGTTCAAGGCCAGCCTGGGCAACATAGTGAGACGTTGTCTCTATAAAATTTTTAAATATATTTGAAAAAATAGTTTTAGGCCTCAGGTAAATAGTGCTCACCTGAAAGAAACAAAGGAACAATTTTTTTTCCTCGTTTTACTAGATTGTATTTTTGTGTGTGTGTGTTTGAAACACTCTAAATATTCTAGCGGGATTCGGAAAATTATTCACTGTAAAACAGATTATAAAATACATTTTATTCTATGCATATGTTTTATATCCTTGTTGAAAATGCATTTGATTTGACTGCAACTATAGCAAATATACGTCAAGAAAGAAACAAACAAATTAAATGTCACACTTCATTTACTAAGCTTCTATAAGGAGGAACAAACTCATGTTATACTTCCAAAAACTAATATCTATACATAGAAATTTCAAAGAATTATCAGTAGGAAAGGACACTCACCTTGGCTTTATTCTTGAAGATAGACCCAGGTAATTTGTCATAGTGGAGGTGAGTTGCCAAAATCCTTGGTGATGGAAAGCCTTTCATTCTCTTAAAAATATACACAAAAAGGTGAAAATGTGCGCACGCGTGTGTGTGTGTTGAATCATTGCTGGGTTTGGTATCTAAATGACAGTTTCCAGCACTACTGTCACTATATCTTCTCCTCCTCCTCCAATTTTTCTTTCTTTCTTTTTTTTGAAACAGAGTCTCACTCTGTCGCCCAGGTTGGAGTACAGTGGTGCGATCTCAGCTCACTGCAACCTCCACCTTCCAGGTTCAAGCAATTCTCCTTTCTCAGCCTCCCAAGTAGCTGGGATTACAGGTATCCACCACCACGACCAGCTAATTTTTGTGTTTTTAGTAGAGACAGGGTTTCGCCATGTTGGCCAGGCTGGTCTGAAACTCCTTACCTCAGGGGATCCGCTCGCCTCAGCCTCCCAAAGTGCTGGGATTACAGGCATAAGCCACCACACCTGGCCAATTTTTCTTTATTTCTGTTTTCTTACTTTGTGGAGATGAGGAATGAAGAATCATAGATAAAAAAATAATTAAAATATTCTTGAATTTCTTTGTTGTACCCTGCTTACCATTTCCCAATCATTTTTGTAATTTTTTAAAAAAATTACCTTTTCCCACAATCATATCAAATCCATTTTGTTCAAGACCGCTCATAATCTGAAATATACACTTTCAGCCGGGCGCAGTGACCCACGCCTGTAATCCCAGCACTTTGGGAGGCCGAGGTGGGCAGATCACGAGGTCACGAGATGGAGACCATCCTAGCTAACATGGTGAAACCCCATTTCTACTAAAAACATAAAAAATTAGCCGGGCGTGGTGGTGGGCACCTGTAGTCCCAGCTACTCAGGAGGCCGAGGAAGGACAATGGTGTAAACCCGGGAGGCAGAACTTGTAGTGAGCCGAGATTGCGCCACTGCACTCCAGCCCGGGCGACAAAGTGGGACTCCGTCTCAAAAAAAAAAAAAAAAAAAGAAATATACACTTTCACTTAATTTAGATCTCTTCTATATTCAAGGTCTTTAACAGAAATAGTGAAGTCTTTCCACAGTTCCTGCAAATCCATTTTTAACATTTAAATCTTTCTGTTTAACCAGCTAAAACTCTAGGCAATAAAATATCTCAATGGAACCTGAAAGTGCAGAGTACTTAAATGTCTGAGAAATGTTTTATGAGAGAAGTATATTGTCAGTATATGGACTAAGGTGATTGATTCTTTTTTTGTAATCTATTTCTATAGATAATTTGGAAGATAAAATTACCTATTTAATCTGCCAGGATTAAGGGTTTTCACTTACAATCAGACCATTAGTATATGTTATACAGGGAAGTAAGGCTTCAAGTTTTTAGTCCCACATCTGTAGAGGTCACTCACTGCTTGGTTGCAGCTACAATATAACTACTCACTGTAAGTGATAAAAGGATATTCAGATGTTTGTAGCCAATTGTTCTGTAAAAACTTAGTGGAGGCTGGGCATCCTGACCAACATGGTGAAACCCCTTCTCTACTAAAAATACAAAAAATTAGCTGGACGTGGCGGCGTTTGCCTGTAGTCCCAGCTACTCAGGAGGCTGAGGCAGGAGAATCACTTGAACCCGGGAGGCGGAGGTTGCTGTGAGCTGAGATAGCGCCACTGCACTCCAGCCTGGGCGACACAGTGAGACTCCACCTAAAAAAAGAAAAAAAAAAAAACTTAGTGGAGATCTCAACTCAAGCAAGGGGACAAAAAATGAAATTTAAAAAATAAAACACACTTTAAATCAATGATATGGGCCCAAGTGGTGACTAGCAGTGTAAAATCTCATTTACATCAAACTGTACTTTTAAACATTTGAAGCATTTTCATACTCACTCATACTCATTCACAACAATCCTCTCAGGTAGATATTGTAACCCCCATTTTAGAGATTAAGAACAGGCTTTGAGGTTTTAAGCACTTTGTGCAAAATTGCACAGGTGATTATTTTCAGATTAAGTTATAGAGTGTGGTTTCCAACTTCATGGCCAAAAATCATGTACAGACACATGAGAAATGGTAAAGTTACTAAAAGGATTAGAAAAGCACCCAAGGGAAAAATGGAAGTCAACTGTAATAAAATTAGATAGTTACATAATATATACTACTATGTTCATTAAAATGTATAATACAGCCCAAGTGTGAGCAAAGACTAGATACTTTATTTAAGGAAAAATATGTATTCCAGAAAAGTTCTCTAGATACCTTATGTAAGGAAAAATATGTATTCCAGAAAAGATCTCTGTAAAGCAAATAATCGTTAAGTGACGTTCATTTCACTAATTTCCATTTAAAAATAAAGGGCATATTGGCCAAGCGTGGTGGCTCACGCCTGTAATCCCAGCACTTTAGGAGACTGTGGGGGGTGGATCACTTGAGGTCAGGAGTTCGAGAGTAGCCTGTCCAATGTGATGAAACCCTGTCTCTACTAAAAATACAAAAAATTAGCCTGGCGTGGTGGTGCACACCTGTAATCCCAGCTACTCGAGAGGCTGAGGCAGGAGAATCGCTTGAACCCAGGAGGTGGAGGTTGCAGTGAGAGGACATCGCACCATTGCACTCCAGCCTGAGTTACAGAGTGAGACTCCATTTCAAAAAAAAAGAGAAACAGACAGAGAAATTGAAATCTGGATAAATGTTGGCATCATTTCTAAAGGTGATGTTAAACACTCTCCTTAGTAAAACGTTATGCAAAGACCTGGGCAGGGGAAGTCTATGGGGCTTTTCCTTATTTTCTACCTAGGACAAAGCTTCTTACTGCCCCTGTTGGCCCATCCTATGTTCCTGGGCCCATCTTGGCTGAGCCTTCACCAGGTTTGCTTTGGTCCAGGTTTGCTCTGGTCTGTTGTTGCTGACCAGATGCAGGACTCGGCACTTACCTCCAAACCACTCTCCTCCGAGTCCCTGGACATCTATCTCCTTTACCATGTATTTTTGTGCTACTTTGGCCTAATCCATGGAAATGGACTTCCTTCCATCTAGGTTCCAACTTTCAAGTTTGTATTTGTCATCATGCCACTGTCTCAGTCACCTTGAAGAAGCTGTTCCCTAAGTCCCAATCCAGTGGCTTTATCTTAGTAACTGAGTCCTGTCTGCCTGTTGGGAGTCTTGGTGGCGAACATTTCTGAAAGTTTTACTGAGACTGTGGTTCCCCCTTGAATACAGCCTTCCCTTCCCAGCTGCATTCTGGTGTGTCTAGGAGTGGGGAGGGGCTGTCTTCCATGTCCTTTTTCTGTCCAAGCACTGAAGTCCTGAGGCAGATCCTCCTCCCACTCTTTTCTTGCCTTCCCTGGGCAGCGAGTAGAACATCCTATCTCACACCCAAGTCCCAGTTAGTTGTATTGGGAAGGTAAGTAATAACAGCTAGGGTGACCTGTTATCCCCTTCACACACATCAGTGGCTTACTCTCTTAGCTAATGCTTGATTTCTTCCCGTCCCTTACACACACACGAATCATAACTGAGATAGGGAAATCAAAAATCACTGGGAGCGGTGGCTCATGCCCATAGTCTCAGCACTTTGGGAGGCCAAGGTGGGAGGATCACTTGAGCCCAGGAGTTCATTACCAGCCTGGCAACGAAATGAAACCCTGTCTCTACAAAAAAAAATTTAAAAAAATTAGCCAGGTGTACTGGCATGTGCCTGTAGTCCCAACTACTCAGTAGGGTGAAGCAGGAGGATCGCTTGAGCCCAGGAGGTCAAGGCTGCAGTGAGCCATGATCATACCACTGCACTACAGCCTGGGCAATGAAGTGAGACTCCATTTCAAAAAAAAAAAAAAAAAATCATGCCTTACCAGGAAAAGCCTGGTGATTCCTACTAGCATCCTGCACAGGTCCATGTCTTCAGAGATGAGGCTTTTCTGTTCATTTCCTGAGATTTCTCAGCTTACTTTCCCCCTACTTAAAATAAAAAGAACAAAAACAGGCTGGCTATATAGTATAGTTGTTAAAAGCTCAAACTAGGAAACGGGTTCAAATCTTGGCTCTATCATTTATTAGTCCCTTGACATTGGGCAAGTCCCTAGCAGTTCTATCTTTTGTGAAATGGTAATAAGGTTATTTTGCAAAAAATAAGATGATACCTGAACAGTGCTGAAGATACGGTAGGCACACAGTAAATTGTGATAATTATTAGTATTGCACTTTCTAAACTGAAAACTAAAGAACCCCCAAACTGGAAGAAATCTTTCTATGATAATTTGCTGTAAAGTTAAAGGCTGTTTGTACTAACCTGATATTTTTCTGAATCCCCACATTCAAGAACTGGGAATTCTGGATATTCATACTTTTTTTTAGAAACAGCAAATATTAATTCGTGGACAATGTGGAGAATCCAGTTTGAACCTATCAGAAAAATCAGAGAATAAAAACTCATTATGGAGTCTCGATGTAACAAAAGCACGTTATTTTAGCATATACATGATAAAAATTAAAATCTACAACCATTCCCTGATGTGTATATTTAGTTCTTCTGTGTTTGAAATAACTTGGGCTATGGAAAGAAATGGTTTGATGGAAAACAGCATTTACCTATAATTAGTATAAAATTCAACTTATTTCTCAGATGTCTCCTTTAACAAGGGACAATGCTTCATTTTGAATCTAGAATATGTTTCTTATAGAACAATGTTATGTTATAGAAAGTTTATTATAAGTTATTTATATTATTTTACATTAAATTAATACATATTTTCCACAGAAATCTATATTTTGATTTTAGGAAAACACAGCATCAGTTAAGAAAAAAACATTTTAAATGAGGTTGGCTTTAATAAACAACAGTAAAAAGAATCAAAAGGAAATGGTAAAAAGCAGGATAATTTAGATTCTTCAAGTTTTATTTTCCATTGATGAAAGATCTTTGTAAAAGTGATTGGAGAAACTGACGGAGCAGTATTTGATCCTGAAAAATAATTTGTAACATGGAAATCATCATGTAAAGTACAGAAGTGGCTGTGCTTTTGTCCAGCCAGAAATCAAGACAAAATCACTGCTACTGTCACTGCTCCTTGCCAACTGGACTTTCCCACATTCATGCAACTCCCTTCCAGGCCAATCAACCATCCCCTTCCGCTCTCCATCCTCCATAATGGCCTTTCTGCACAGAGCTCTTCCTTCAGACACTGGGGTTTTTTAATCTAGCAATTCTATCTACTGATTATATAACCTGCGTACTTAACCACGGTGGCCCTCCTCCTCACTGACGCTCAGTCAGATTCCTGCAATGAGGAACCACTTTCATCCCACCTTTGTCTCACACCCTCCCCAACCTACTCACTATGAGAAGTGTGCTTGTAGGAGATGACTTGTTATTTACCGCACTTTGGATAAGATGCTAGCACGATGTCATCATGTCTGGCTTCGAATGTGTCCAGCGCTTGGAAAGTTTCTGAGGTGCACATGGTGATGGGGTAAGGAATCCCCTGATAGGTGAAAAATAAGCGAGAAAGTGCAGTTTCTTTAGATTTTTCTAAAGCTTCATCAATGTACTCAATAAATTTGGATTTATCAGCCATGGTAGCTCCCTGCAAATGAACCTGCTCTGTGGCTGTCCAGGGGGAGTGATTGCTTTTAATGGAGTTGGGCAGGGGCTGGAATAAAGGGCTCCTCCCAGGCACATGAAAAAGAAATCATTTAATTCTCATCCACCCTCCCTCAACTTTTGCATATCCTCCTGGCAAAAGCTAAACCACAGGTGCAAAACAGGCTGATGATCAGGGAATATTACCCCACGGGTTGATTACATAACCATTTAGGCAATCTGCCCAGTGAAAGTAAGAATGGGATATCCTAATAGAAGAAAATGTATATTAAATATCTAACAAATAGGTATTGAATCAGGCACGCAATTTTTCTATTAGAAATTCACAGAATGAAATCTCAGTTATCTCCTGGGTTGATACATTTTTACACATATCCTATGTGGTGTGAAAGGAAGCAATGGGATTGTGAGGTAATTTGGTGGGGTGGAAAAGAGACCAAATTTGGGGGCAGTCTCGGGCACTCTCATTTACTGGCTCAATAGATTTACAAGTCTAAAGACCTGAGTTCGAACCTTGACTCTACCATTTACTAGTTGTGTTACTCTGAGCTAATGATAATATATCTCTAAAAGTTTATGTAAAATTGTTAACAGTGGAAATGTATCTGAGTTATCCCATATGGGTCTGCAGCAACCTCAATTCTTGCCTCCTCAGAAGAAAGAACTGACTGAGGGTATAAGGCAGAAAAAGAGACTGATGCAAGTTTCAGAGTAGGAGTGGAAGTTTACTAAAAGCTTTAGAGTAGGAAAGAAAGGAAAGTACACTTAGAAGAAACCCAAGTGGGTGACTTGAAGAGCAAGTGCAATGTTTAACCTTGATGCTAGGCCTTCATAGGCTGGCCCACTTCCAGCATCTCACACCCCTTTCCCATGATTCTTCCCTTAGAGTGGGCTGCCCTCCTTACCCTCGGGAGGTAAGCATGTGCAGTGTGTTTAGGAAGCTGTACCCATGCCCATCTGAGGCTTTCTTCCCTTTTCTAGTGTAGCGCCCCCAGAAGGTCAGACTATGTCATTGTGTCTCTTAATGTGCATGCTGGGGAAGTTTCTTCTCCCTGGCACATTTCCTAGGATAGAGTCTTCCTGTAGCAGTCTTTTTCTTTTGGGTAAGTTGGCTCATACTTCCCATCTCCCAGCAGCTTGGTGTGGCCCTGTGGCTAAAACAGGAAGTTGATGGCTCTCCAATCTTCTTTAGTCCCTTCCCCATACCTGGAAGGCAGATACTGTGTTGGCAAGTCAGATTTGCTAATTCGGAGGAAAGCAGCACTGAGGAAATCTGGCTCACCAGATGGCCTTGAGAAACAGAGCCACCCTCCCACGACTCACACTGTATAACAGGCCTCCTTCTGACCTGTATGTGAAAGAGCATAATTGTTCATCTTGTTTGAGCCATTGAATTATTGGAGTCTCAACAATTACAATTATAATTACTCAAAAGTTATAGCAGTTTAGCCTATATCCTATCTGGTACATTTTCTGTGTCAAAATTTACGTTTTGGCCTCTTGATAAGTCAAATATCTATAAACATAGACTATATATTTCTTCTTATTTCTCTCCCATTCTCTTCCCCACATCTTTCTTCTTACCCTTCTTCCATTTTTCTAACGTAATTTTTTTCACTGTATTTACCTTTCTCTTAACCAATGTTAACCAGTTAAGAAGATGACTTCTAGTTATGCTTAGTTACCTGGCTGTACCATCATTCATATATCAGTTAAAAGGATAGCTAACATTATTGAGTACTTGTATGTACCACATCCCTTTCCAAACTGCTAAGATTACAGGAATGATTTGATGTAATTTCCTAACAGCCTTATGAAACGGGTGTTGCTTTGCTACCTTTTGCAGTTAGGTTAATTGGGGCCACAGGGGCTAAGTGACTTCTAGAGGACAAGAGGTGAGGGTTGGTGGGAGAAAAAGCAGGTTTTAATCGGAGAGCCAGCAAACAGAGAAGATGGTGAACTAGTGTTCTAAAGTACCACCTTAAATTTTAAAATTGACTATAGGTTTTTAAAGGGGGAAATGCATGGCAGACATGTGGGAGTGGTACAGGATGCAGGGTCTGTATGTCTTGTTTCAGTGGCTATCTTGGGTAATTGCCTGTTTGGAGGTCTGGTTGGCATTATCTTGATTTCAGCCCAATGGTAGTGGAGAAAATGTTGTGACTCCCCTTAAGCATGAGGATTCTGCAGTTGGGGCTCTGCATCTGGTTTGTTTCAAGATTAGCTTCTGGAATTTTTTAACCAAGAAAACAATTAGATAAACATGCATTGCCAGAGGAGAATGTCTAGAGAGGGAGGGAATGAAGGGGTAAGAGGGCAGGAAAAGAAAGTGAGTGATTAAAAAATATTTTAAAAGCTCCTGGTTACAGTTGCAGAGTCAGGCTTTGGAGGGGCTAGGATCGGAACACAGGCAGGACAGCTAAGTTCAGGCAGAAAGACACTTACAATGAGATCTCAGAGGGCACAGGTTTAATTCTTAGTGCCAGTGATTTCTTTGGTGCTTCTTTACCTGCTATGAGAAACAAGGTCATGGGAATTTTTCACTGCAAAAAAAAAAAAAAAAAATCTTATTTTCTGCGGAGAGAGATTTTCATGACCACAAGGGCAATAAATATCCTAGGTTCCAGTGACACAGGATGGCACATCCCCGCCTAGGCCCGGCTTGGCCTGGTGCCTCAGCCTGCCTGTGTTACAGCTTATTCAGTCCCCTGTCTACTTAGGCCCATGGCTCCAGGGCTGGCCCAGCCTGGCTGCTGCTTTCCATTGTGTGGGGTGGCTGCAGGCACGAGCCGCAGGTGGAGGGCCACAGTGTTACAGCCTTTTTTGTACCCACATTTGAAGGATCCCAAGTTCTCGTCCTGCATCCAAGAAGAATGAGGTTATGCTGTAAACTGAAGAGTGAGAAAGGCAAAGAAGAGTTTTATTGAGCAACGGAACAGCTCTCAGTAGAGAGGGGACTCGAAGAGGGTGGTCCACCGCCCTAAGGCAGGTAGTCCTCCTTAGCCTGAAGGTGGGTACGAAAAAAAACTGTAATACTGTATCCCCCGCCCTCCACTGGTGTAAGGCAGCCACCCCACATGAAGGAAGGAGTGGCAGGGCCAGGCCAGCCCAGGGGCAGCAGGCTGGAGTGGGACAATGGGACTAAAAGAGCTGTTCGCATGCTATAACACTCCCTCTGGGGGTTGGGGTTGCTGACATCCCTGTTTGGGTGTCACCATGTTCCCCTCATCCAGACACCATTGCTCAAGGTGGAAGCAGGTTGTGGCATGGCTGACCCAGCTGCGGGCTGAGTGTGGATCCCGCCGCAAGCACTGGATCTGGGTGGGAGCGCAAGCGAAGTGCAGCTGGGTGGGCTGGGTGCCTCCTGCAGTGGGCCCACGGCCTGGGCAGGGGTGTTGCCAGTCTTAGAGGTTTCTGGCTGGCTAAGCAGCCAAGAAAAAACCTGCATCACTAAAGCATTTTATTTAATGACAGCATTTTGGGACAAACACTATATTCTCTCTCTGTGTGTGTGTGTGTGTGTGTGTGTGTGTGTGTGTGTGTGTGTATATATATCAATTGTAAGATGCATTCCTATTTCTGAAATGTAAACATATGGAAACAAGTACATCTTGGAATTGAGGAAATTCTCTATGTCAACAGAAAGTGAGAGGCAGGTGGTGGATGTGTGAGAGTAGTTTTTTATCTCCATTTTACAGAGGGAAAAGAACTGACCAGAGAGGGTTCCTAGCTAGGCATTGGTGTTTCATTATGTAGGTGAATATTTATTTTTTAAAGAAGCAGTATGTGAAAAGGTAAAATCAGAATATCTGAATATCTTAGTATTTTTATATGTCTATACATCACTCCCACTTGAAGGCCTTCTTGCCTTACATAATAATGCGATATTAGCTGTAGTTGTGAAGGTGTATTTAAGATTTTCCCTCCCCAAAAAAGAAAAGAGGAGCAGGACTGAACTCCTTGCCAATCTGCTTAGTGAGATTATCCTTACATTACAAAGAGTCTGTTTCCCTCTAGTCAGGTAGAATTTAAGACGTTGATTCAAACATGGTTGTTGTTGGCTTGCTTCTTAGTGGGTAAAACACTTAAAAAGACAATGGGTTGGATCTTGTTCCGACACTAATGCCTGTAATTATAGGAGGATTTAGGAGGCTCTTTGGGATTGGTAATGTGAACTCTGATTCTTAGTTTGCCTAGGCTTAGGTCAACCTGTTGACCTTAGAATTCTACATACTCAACACTTAGTTGTCTGGAAAGCATAATGGAGGGAAATAGCATGAATAATTATAGAATAACCTGTATCGTGTGATATATTTGTACTGTCATACCTATGAGTGCCGGTGGGTCTCATGTTATATGAAGTCCTAGCTTCCTATTCAGCTCCTTGTGTCTTACCCCCATATTGGAGATAAATTACTGCTGACCTGTCAGGCTTTGCCAGCTGTGGCCTGGCTCATGCCCCAGAGGCAGCTGCATGGGAGGCTTATTTAAAGTTTCTTTCCAGCTGGGTGTGGTGGCTCATGCCTGTAATATCAGCACTTCAGGAGGCTGAGGCAGTCAGACTGCTTGAGCTCAGGAGTT